ACGTTGGCCTACTTCCAACAAAACTTTCAACTATCTGAAAAAACAACATCCGTAACACACCAGTCACCATTAGCTCCCTTAGCTTGTAGCGTGTTGGCCCACACAATCAATTCGCTTGATATCCGATCATTTTTTTGTAGCTTTTAACAAATTGAATTCTTCGACTTCCGTTGTGGTGAAAAGACAAAGCGTAATATTTGAGCACGACGTTACTGCGAGTTTGATGAGCACACACTTAACGTGGGCTTCATTGGATACTCTCGTGCATTTGTGATGTTTGTTACATCCCGTCTACTGCAGACGGAGCTCAGTACACCAGGTCGGCAAATCCTGACAAGTTGTGAGTCTAGCGGGATCATCATACAACACTCACACAAACACGTACACTGTGTGTGTTTTGCCCTTCAGCTGTCCCGCGGCCTCCTTCTTCCCTCCATCACGTCTTTCCACGGTCGCTCCCCTCAGGTCACAAACTGCTGTTGCCGGGATAACGATTGAGGGGGGGGATGCTGCGCGGTTGCCACGGCGACGCTCCCCAGAGTGTCAGCGGGGTTGATCTTGGCAGCCTCTAATTCATTTTTTAACAGCCAGTGCCGAGCACTGCCCATCCTACATTTAGGATAAGGACCAAATCACAGAAATGGCAGAAATTAGAGAAAAACTGAGCTTTTTTTCTTCAAAGCAGCGGAAGCAACTCGCCGCCTGGTTTGAGGTGTTGTCTGTCTTCACAACCTTTAACATTCCTCTCAGTTCAGACTGAATTAGTTTTTCTCCACTGACTCCAGATGTGACGATTTGTAAACCCTTTTGCAAACCTCTTCCTGTGTTTGTTGAGACAGTTGCAGAGGTGTTTACTCAGCCCGTCCTGTTCCTGTTAGCGAGATGCAACATGTCGCCACAGTTCCTCCCCTCCGCTTCTGTTTTATTCATCTTCTCAAATATGCCAAAACCATCTCTGTTAGTCGCCTCTTGCTCCTGAGAATTTGTGAAGTCCGACCCTGCGAATCCGCTTCCAGCCTAAAAATGAGGCTCTACAGCTTCTCGCTGCTTTAATGAAAAGATCCGTGTGTGTGTCTGGTTTTAATGTGTGGAACTGTATTAAATATAATTTGTGTTTTGTGAGCGTGGGACAGACCACATAGAAGGAAGAAAGACTGAGAAGGAAGAGGCACAAGCTGGTTAATTTGTTTATTCTCAGCCGGGATGAGTTGTAATGATTCAGTCCAGACAGTGAAGACATTTAAAGACTCAAAATGATCTTTCTCTCTGCACGTTGCGGCGATAATACCGTCCAGACTTTCCTCAGTCTGCATGTCACCGCTGCTGAGCTTTAATTCTAACACCAAGTGCAGGCGTACGTTGCCACACTTTAATAAATGAAAAAGAAATGTTGATGCCACCCCTGCTTCTTTGCGTTTGACACGTCGACGCAGAAAAACCTGAACGCGGGCAACAAAACCCGTTATATGAAAGTCACTGTTGGCTCACAAGTGCACACGCAACCACACAACCACCTCCAGTAAAGAGCAGATTAGAGAGGAAAGCTGTTGTGCCGCCTCCAGTTTAAAGCACCACAGTGGTTCTTCTGCACATCAAAGGCAGCGTGGGCCCACACACACACACACACACACACACACACACACACTATGTGTAGTATGTTTCCCCAGGTGTTCGTTGGGTTCGACAGGCTTATGATTCAGATCATGCATGCAGAGATGTTGTACTACATGCGTGTGCGCTTTAGGCCCGCCCCCTTTTCAGCATTCAGGTCTCACATCACATTCAAGTCTCTGTTTGGACAAACGTAACGTTCGACTTCAGGTGCCTCATTTGCTGAATGTAAAAAAAGAAAAAAAGAGAGAATCATGCCGAACACTCTGGTAGAGTCGTGTTGGGACACATTTTGGCTGATTCCGCGAAAAGCTAATTGACGACAAGCTCATCTGCGCGTGATTGGCCGGTTAGTCTCTTGCTTGTTCTTCTAATCTCTCATCCTGCTGCTGGACGTTGTTTCTTCCTCTCACTCCTCCTCCTCCTCCTTCTCCCCCTCCCACTCATTCTCTGCCTCTTCTCTGCTTCCTTTTCCTTCTCCGTCATCTTTGCCTTTGTGCCTTTTTGTCTCGTCCATCTACTTCCTTTTTATGTTTCCTCTGCTTCTTCCTTCCCTCCTCGTCCCTCTTTTGCCACCTTCTTCATCCCTGTATTTTCTTTTCTATTTTATTCTCCTCGTCTTCCTTCCACTCTTCCTTCTCACACACACACACAGACACACACACTAGAGGGCCGTTTCTAGGTCATGGGGCTTTATATGAATAATAAACAGCTGTCTGCTTTAAAGAGAATTATTTATAGAGCATCTTTCTCCGTCTCATTCTTAAACGCTGGCTCTTTTTCTTTGTCATCCAACTTTTTTACACCCTGTCGTCTTTATTATCTGTCGTCTCTTCATTCCCCGACTGATGCTTTCTTCAATAATTCGCACTGAAAGCTTTCCTTCAATGCGCCGTCTCCAGATATTTGCTTCTTGATGCTGCTACAGCTCCAGCTCTCATAAGATATTTCACTGTCTGATCAAGGCGATTGACACGTTTCCCAGCATGCATTTCGCAAGAAAGTGGTAATGTGTCACCAATCCAATTTTACTGTAATTGTTTTCAGAATTTTGAGAATTCATTAAAATCTTGATGAGATTCCCTGTTTCACAGTTGTGTATCACTGGCAGTGAAGTCAGAACTCATTGATTTATTTTTGGGGGGCACAGAGTGTAAACATTAACAGTTTGTCATTCACACTCGTTGTGATCGGTTCTTTAGCTGCTAATTTATTCTAATTTATTTATTTTTTGGCTGCATGTGGCTGGAAACCATCAGACCCTGAAACAGAAAATCCACAATTGGAGCCGATGCCATTTTGGTGATGAAATGTGCAGTGTGGCATGCAGGGAGAGAGGGGGAGAGAGGTAGAGAGGAAGAGAGGGGGAGGGGGGTTTGGAGGCAGAGAGTGACTCGGCAGGAACGGACTGGATGGAGGGAGGCGAGGTCACCAGAAAGTCAGACGGTGGCCAGACTAAAGCTTCAGGCTGAAAGAGCATGAGGTCATCTGGACCGGTAATACACTCCGAGAGGAAGAATCAAGTCCACAGTATCATTTAAACAAATGTGTGTCACAGTGTGAAGAGCATGCGTATCGCTTTTTAACTTTCCCTTTACTTTTTAATGCTCTATTCTACGTCCCCCTACAGCCCACTGCCTTATATTTCATTCCGTAGCGTTAAATTGTCAAACTTGTAAATTGAACAAGCCATTTTCTATGGCACTATGTTGTCTTATCTGTCTTGTTGTCCATTGTCTTGCTGTCTGATGTCATGCACATACCGCCATGTCAGATTCCTCGTACCTCCGACACATTTTGGCAATAAATGTTTCTCATTCCTGATTCCTGAAAAAGGCCCAGCGGTTACAATGTAGAGTTCATACTAGTGCTGCTGCAGCCGTGTTTATGTAAGGAGACCCTGCTCTCCAGTTCGTAATCTCCTGTTCAGCCTTGATAGATGGAAAGGGTCATTTCTCTAACCCCCAATCAGCATTTACCACGTTGGTTTTCAGATTCCATACCGTGCCCTGATTTGATGGCGGGTCAGTCCGCATTAGAGTGGACACCATGAGTACCTTTCATTCATCCGGATTCAATATTTAATAGCTGGAAGCACTGGCTTGCTCGAATCCTCTTTTAAGTCCACCTGACCCAGCAGATGGTCCATCACTCAGGAACATGACGTGTCAACTTACTGGATCAAACCCACAGGATTGGAAGATGACTCCAGTAGTGCAAAACACATTTATTTACTTCCTTTCTGCAATTTGGAGGTATTTCCATTTAACTATTTTACATCCCCCCCCCTCCGCCATTTCAAAGGTTGATATAGATGAGACGACAACAAAAACACATACAACTAAAGTAAACCGGGCCTAAATGCAGCTTAAGCTGCCAAAGAAGACTTGAGACAGTTACATACAGTAGATTTTTAGTTTGGTTCCATTAAAGTACTTCTGACCTGCGACAGCAGATGTCACCACACGGTCAAACTGTTTTAATCTGGAGTCTAATCCCTGCCGCCTTCATTTAACCTCAGCCAGGAGGTCAGAGCTTTACACGTGTGTGTGGGTGTGTGTGTGTGGAGGCATGCATATGATATATCACATGTAATCCATTGTGTGTGTGTGCCCGCATATGTGCAGGTCGCCAAAGTGATTGTGTAGTAATGCTGGAAAATAAAGCATCGGTGGAGAGGTCGACAAAGGTCAAACTGTTTGTTTTGTCTTGTTTCTTAATATTTGTGCAGTGAAGTTTTTCGAGCAGACACTATGCAGATGGATCACAGAGCTGTCTGAGGACTTAGACTTGGTAATTAGGGTAAGAGTTAGTTTTAGGTTCTGGTCTAAGGGTGCAACTGGAGGACGCTTTATGTCCTGAATGGTGTTTGTTAGGATGCGTGAACATTTCTAATCCAGGCAGACGAGAATGCTCACACTCATTCATCAAACCAAGTAATCTGCTTTACACACACACACTTGACCAGATAAGGCAGCTCTACCCTGAAGAAGCTTGTAACACTTGAGTCATGCGAGGACGGGAGTCCACATTTCTCAGCCCTCCTCATCAGGGAAGCAGCTGGTTGGAGATCTGATGTTAATTCGTTTGTATGCGATTTGTCGCATTATGCACAGCGGCGTTTAGAGACAATTTACTGAACCCGGATCAGCCTGAAAGAGAGTGAAAATCAGGAGGGTCTTCAGTCTTACTGTTATTTCAGTGAGAATCGACCTTGGTAAAGCGGTGCTGAGACGCTAATATCGGCCTACAAACAGGCTCACAATGACCTTTTTTCTGCCTCTCTGTTTTTGGGGCGTGTTTCGGACCACAAACACCGGCCACGTGATCCTGTGACGGTCAACAAGGTTAAACGTTGTCTCTTTTCTCTCTCTCTCTTTTTGTCACAGGGCCTTGTACACATATGAGGACGACAGCAATGATTTGAAACTGGCATCATCGGGTGGTAAGTGTGTCTTTTTTTTCTTTTTAATTCACAATGAACGCGGCTGCAGAAGCACGTTGACGTCATCCGTGAAGATGGTTTTGCGTTTGCCGGCCAACTTTGATGAGCTCTGCGGATTCCGATGTCGCTTCGGGGGGGGTGATCATGTTCTCTGTCTCCTGATTGTTCCTGTGCTGGATTAGTTGTTACCACCGTTAATGGCGCGCTGTATGATCATTACAGTTTACTGAGTCAGTGATGCACACACACGCCTCCTGCCTCCTTCTAATGACATCATTGCACCATGGTAGGTCGGATCTGCAAATACAAACCCTTCTGCTCTTTAAGGACTGTATATTTCTTCTTTTTCACCCACATTTGATTGAGTTTCTCATGCGCGCACGTCTTAATTGGTAAACCTAATGCAGAAGCTCAGACTCACATGATGATCATTTGCCTTTCTGGCTTCGGTCCGGAGTGTTAATTTATACCCTGGAGCTCACGCAATGGGAGGAAATCTAATAAGGATATTTATTAGACACTTAGATTGTAAAAATGTTAGCAATATATTTCAAAGGACAATAAACTGATAAATGTAACCAATGTAGGGAGGTGTAATTTGACATAATTATGCAGAAACCCAATACTAATGGGTAATAAACGATATGTTCCAATATCCTATTCTCCTATTGTCCAATTAACTACTAATCCTCCTATCAGATCACAATAAAACTGATCACATCGCCCCCTGGAAGTGAAGTTATGTGTCTGATCATATTATTGTTAGGCCCAAAACATTGGAATATCCTGGATAATGGAACCACATGGCAGCTTTTTGCAGGTATAATTTCAATTCATCTCACTACAACACACACACACACAATAGTCGTAGCGGCTGTTGCTATAGTAACTGAGTTCATCCAAAATGCACCAAAAGTCCTGTAAGGGAGCTGATTGTAAATTGATACATATTTTAATTCATTTAGTTTTCTCTGAGAGTAAGAAAGTTTTGAGAGACAAACCAACACACTGTTCGTTTCGGTTTCTCGAGCCTGAGACGCATCTCCAGGAATGTGCTGTTGAAGACGTGTCTCTTTGATGCACTTTCGATGGGAACCACGCCACGAGTCCAATGTGATCATCCGCGAATTATTCCTGAATATAGAAATCTCGATCACATGAGAGCAGTGATCTGGCGCTGCCACAGAGGAGGCTCTGCATCAGTAAGAGCCACTCCTGCCAACGCGCGTCTTCGTTTCCTTCATGCGGCTTTCTCCTGAGAGAGACGTGAATATTTCAGCAGCCGCGGAGAGGAAAACACAGTTTGTTCATCCGCACTGTGAAGCTCGGAGGGATCCATCTGCCCCTCCGGTAGTGCACAGTCACACTCGTGTGAGGTGTTTACAAATGAGATACGGGGGGAAAAGCCGGATCGTAATGTGAGGCCTAAAACTAGCAGCATCTGATCTAAAGGTCACGCGCTCGAAACTCCGACCCAACGCAGCCTCTTGTTCTGTGGCGCAGGAGGCGGCCTGGCAGAGATCACGCTGACCTTTGACGCCGCCCGGGTGATGTACGGCTTCTGCAGCCTGAAGGAGCCCACCGCCACGCTGCCACGATACATCCTCATCAACTGGGTAAGTCGCCGGGCCAGAGGGGGGCGTGCATGACGCTAAGCCAAACACTCCAGGCAGCAAACACACACACACACACACACACACACACACACACACACCAACATGTAAAAGCAGAATATATGGAAGTCATTGAGGGTCAGAGCACATTTTTAATGTAACTGTCTGTTTAACCTGAATCCAGGTCCTGTCTGTTCTGCTCCGTGATTGGATGATGTGAAGTGCCCAACCCCCCTCGGGCACGAGGGGGGGGACACTCTTGTTCTGCTGTCGAGTGTACTTTTAGGATGCTTATCGTGTGGTTGATGTTCTTGACACTGCAATGGAGTTTTTTTTTTTTTTTTTTCATTTTAGCATTGAGGTCATGTTGTACAACCCGCAATGAAGCAACTGCATCAACACACAAACAGGATAGTATGTACTTTGCTGAGGTGCAACTCATGACAGAACTGTATTTAATTGCACGCATGTGCTTTGATTTAAGTGGCGACTCGGTGGAAGGTGCTGACAAAGGGAACAACGGCTCCTCCGATTTAATCACTGGCTCCACTTGCAGGCCGTGAACAAAACGACACCTACAACATCACACCACACAACATCCTCCCGTGCGTCAGTTATTTCAAAAGGGATCCTTCCTCTGTTGCTACATCTGGAGTTTATCAAATGTTTTGAATTGACTTTCGTGTTCCTGAGACAGATGTGTTGACTTCTGTGTTCAGACAATGTTCATTTTCAACATATTTGAGGCTTTGTTTCCTCGTTGTTGTTGGTGGGGTGTAAAAAAAATAGACCTACAGCAACGTTTGTCGATTGTAGTTATTAAACTCTTCCTTCAGCAGAGGTTCTGTTAATTAACGTATTGCTGCTCGAGAATCTGTTTCAGTTTCAACATGATTTGCATAATTTGCAGATGTTGTTTACAAGTATTCAGCTTCCTTTTCTACAACATTGTGATGAGCATGGCGCCGCTAGTGCTGGATTTATTTCCCCGGGGGGGGTTGGGGGTGTGAATTGCTTCTTGTTTTTTAAGAAATTTTCAATCAGCTCCGTGTGGAACTTCACTTTTGTATGAAAATGGAGGAAGTGGAAAATGTTTTTTGATGACCTGAACTCATTTGGAACACCAACATACAAACATTTATTGGAGAACGGAGACCGAAATTAGAAAGGCTTTTGTCGCTTTAACCGAAATGAAACCAAAACGAGTTGCTTGTTGTGTAAAAAATACAGCAACACTAACCGTCCCAGAACAAAGAAAAACGAATGGAGACAAAAATGTACCATAAAATACATCCAACATCGCCAAAATGTCTCACGCGGTCTAAAATAAACCTGCAACAGCATTCAAATGATCTCTTTTACTTCCTCACTCAGACACCCGCGATGAACACAGAGTTAGATGAAGTGGATAAATACTGATATTAAATTACCACCAGCCTCTTTGTCTCTGTTAATTGCTGCTGGTTGCGTTTGCATTGTGTTGCTTTGAATGAGCCCTGATTACTGCCAACGACATCCGGCCTGTCGGAGCAGCAGCCGCTGCTTCAATAAGCCGCCGTGACCCCGGCTGAACCAGAGGGCCCGATGAGGCCGAGTGGGGAAACTCGCCGCGCCGCTGATTCCGTTGCTTTAAGGTCACCATCTGACGCCCCCCCCCCTCCTCTCTGTCTCCCCCTCAGGTCGGGGAAGACGTGCCGGATGCCAGGAAGTGTGCCTGTGCCAGCCACGTGGCATCAATCGCAGACTTCTTACAGGTCAGACCGACCATGGTACTTGAACATTTTCCTAAACAAAATCTCTTTCAACGTTTGGACAAATGATCACCTTTTTTTTTTTTTTTTGCTAATGTGGAAGGAATGCAAAAGATTCGGTTCTACGTTAAAAGTCCTGCTGTTGTGTACTTTTAATTAAGTAATGCTGTGAAGTGTGTGTGTGAAGTGCACCGGTGGTCCGAGCCGTGACCCGTGTAGAGGTCACCTGAACGCCACCAGAAGTCTTCGTTCCTGAGCTTTAACATCAACCGACATCTCAGCCGCTTGTTTCACAATCTGCTGTAGTTGTGCGTCGCATCCAGAATGTTTGAGTATTTGTTTTCAATCACCTGTGGGGAAAGAAGCTGCAGCACACGAAACCTGTAGGAGGATCGTGTGTGTGTGTGTGTGTGTTACATTCCATGACTAATACCATCTCTTTTAAGTTAAGCTCTCTGTGCTGAGAGTTCTGAGCTGAATGACAATCCTCTCACCCACTGTGTGTGCGTGTGTGTGTGTCCCTGTGTTCACCTGGCTGAGTGAGTGTGTAGTTTTAGATTTGAAGAGTGCACAAAAAGATTTCATTAAAAATAGAGGTGGCGCTACGTGTGTACGTGTGTGTGTGTGTATTTGGGGCTTGTTCAGTGTCGTATCACAAGGTGGCCAGCTCTCGCTCACACAAAGCATTGACCTCAAGCGACGAGGCTTTTAATGACCTTTTTAGAGATTCTCTCCCCCACACACACACACACACACACACACACACACACACACACAGTCACACTAAAGTCTTTATTGACTGCTTAACACATCTATATGATTTATATTACTGAACAATACACTATAAAATACATTTAATCATGGTAAATAAATTGGTCTGTTATTGGCATGAATATATTTATTAAGAAAATCGAAAAAAGGATTCCTTAAACATTAAGGAAAAGCATCAAAGGAGAGGTGCAATTTGTGTGAATATGACAAAGTAAACAGAGTAGTCAAAATCTCTCCCTCTCTCGCTCCCTCCCCCCTCCCCCAGGGGGTGGAGGTCACCGTCAACGCCAGCAGTCTGGACGACATCGACCCGTCAGCCATCGGGCAGCGGCTGACCAACGGGACGGTGGCGGTGGCGAGTCCGGTGCTGAGCCGCCTGAGAACCCGGGAGGAGGAGCACGCCGACGTGGTACGAAGAGAGGCGGAGCCTCCAAGTGCAATTTACAAAAGGTCTTAGTTGACCAATCGGCCGATTTGGTGGGCGGAGATTCTTTTGTCCCAGTCAGACTAGAACGACTTTTTTATACTTTCTGTAAACCAACCTGTTTATGTACTTTGACCGCTAAAGTTCCCTGTAGGGCCGCACTAATTCAATAGTGAAATATCGCTATTTATTGCTGCCTCATCAATATCTACATTAAAGATAGATATTATGTCGTTTTGAGTCTATTTAATGACGAACAGTGAACTGGATGAGTCTGAATTTCAAAATAAAATGTGCTCATTTCTTCATGTTTAAATAGTATGATATTTCTTGGTGGAAGATAGCATCACTTTATAGTAATAATAGTAATATTAACTCTCAACACACTCAATAATATTGTAAAACACTGTTTGCCGGACGAAAAGTCAAACCTTTGTCCGTGTCTCTGTCTCTCTCTCCCCCGATGCAGGGAACCGTGTACGAGAAGACCAACGCAGAGGTGGAGATGAAGAAAATCAATAGAGAGGAGTTTTGGGAGCAGGCCAAGGTAGGTGGGAAGGAAAAAATAAATGATGGAGAGGAGTAAAGAAACCCTTCAGTCTGCATCATTTGCATTAATTTGCTTTCCTCGCAGAAACTTGGATGAGAAGATTTATGTCAAAATCTGTGTTTTAATGCTCCGCGTTTGCTCTCCAGCGCGAAGAGGAAGTGAGGAAGGAGGAGGAGAAGAAGAAGGCGGCGGAGGAGCGGCAGCGCTTCGAGGAGGAGCGGATGGAGCTGGAGAGGAAGGAGCAGGAGAGCCGGGAGCAGAGGTACCGCGACCGGGAGCGGCAGATCGAGGAGCACAGGTGAGGAGCCTCGTCAGAGCAGCAGCTAAATCATCACTAAAGCTAAGCTGAAACATCCAGGCTGCAAAACTACACGTCAGAAGTTTTTAGAGATCGATCATGCGCAGGAAACGGGTTTTCCAGGCCTCAGGTGTGCGTACAGTGTTGTCTAACCTGAGTGTGTGTGTGTGTGTGCGTGTGAGCAGGAAGAAGCTGCTGGAGGAGGAAGAGGCCAAAGAGCGGTTGCGGAGCCAGACCACCATGGTACGTTTTTGAGATTACCGCCGTGCTGCAGGTGATTATCGTCGTATCACGAGCTTCTGCTTGAATCCTCCGACTCGTGGAGACTTGCCTCATGCCGGTGAAAGTGTTAAAAGTGTCCACTTGGGTCGGTTATTTTCACCCTGTTAAGTCGTCTCCGTGTCCTCCCCCCCCCCTACCAAAGCGTCACTTTCTAGAAGAGAAGACACAAGGACAAAATCCATCTGTCTGACCGTGGGGTTTGTATCAGGAAGTGATTGTGCGAGTGTGTGCGGTGAGAGTGTGTTCAGTTCATCTGTGTGTGTGTGTGTGTGTGTGTGTGTGTGTGTGTGTGTGTGTGTGTTTGTTTTCCTCATCCTTCAACCGGCTGCGTCGCAGCACAGCTGGGACATTTCGATTACTCCTTTTGAGCACCTTGATCTCTGTCCTTGAGTGGTTACGCCGCCTTGCTCAAGGGACCTCAGGCATTGAAGACACATAGAACGGGTTGATTCGTGAGAAACTATTTTGCACGAGTCTTTTTGGAGAAGACGTAGTGACGTTGTCGTCATCGCGTCAGTAAAAGTATAGAAAATATGTTTCTGCAGCTTCAATTCTTGAAAGGTCTTTAAAAACATTGAATTGCGTTTCCTCAACTAATTAAATAGACAAGAACTATCCCGGACGATCCGATTTACCGTCTTCTGTCTGCAGGCGGCAGAGGCGAGCATCGACGACCTGAACCTGGACAAGAAAGAGACTGAGGTGGACGTGAGTACAAGACATTTGTTCAATTACAATGTAATTCGGAGCTTTTATTTTGTAGTTTCAAATCATTTAAATAGGATTCATTGCGCTTTTTCCAAACACTTATACATATATACATCACCTTGAACGGATTGAACCAGTGATGAATATTTAGTTACCGCTGCTGCGCTCTACATTTACCCGTGTGCTTCCAGGAGGCGAAGGCCATCATCGCCCAGCGGTCCGGAAACCCTCGAGAGTTCTTCAAGCTGAAGGAGAGAGCCATGACCATCAGCGTCGACACCTCGCCCGTCTCCGTCCACAGGACCGGTAAACACTTTGACCCTCAGCGCCGCCGCCGCCGCCTGCGCGGGTCCACAATAAAAACAACGTACGCCGTGTTCTGAAAAGATAAGAGAGAAGGCGCATTTAAATTCACTCCTTAAGGGGCTACTTTCTAATACTTCAACGTGTTGCAGAAGAAAAGCCAAACTTAACTACAAATGGACTCGACGTTGAGTGTGTTAAACCGTCCTGGTCGGCGTGCGGGATGGTGGCATCTGGTTCACAACGCGTCATTTATCACCGTCCACACGTTCCAGCTGCTTTTTTTCCCCAGAGATGCACGTTTTTTTGCAGGAAAAAAAAGCTCTGGAGCTGCAACACAGAGACAACCATCTCTCCGGTTGGGGGGCTGTTAGTTTTTGCATAACAGTCTTTTTAATTTGCATTGCTGTATGTTGTGTTCCGCCATGAGCCTGCTTCAAACGCTCCGGGCTGAGGACGGAATATCCACTAGGGGGGGAAACACGTCCCGCCCACTTTACTTTGACATCCCCTCATGTACTTTTACAGTTTTTTTTCAAAATAAAATCCTTCCGGCGCGTTTTCAGAAAAGCGAGGAGTCGCTCTAATACTTATACTCGCTCGTTTCAGCTTTAATTACCTCAACAACAACAACAACAACAGTTATTCGCTTCGCTCGTTATTCAACGTAAATCTGCTGATTCAAAGGAACTCTAATGGAAGTGTGGCACCGGAGGATGAACCCGTCCGTCAGCATTTCCTTTCTTCTTTAACGGCTGCAGAAACTTTGTTTAAAGTCACACTAACTACTTTTCTTTCTCTCTTCTCCTTTCTGTTTTTTTTTTTCACTGCTGGGTTTTCTCTCTTTCCTCTCTTCTCCATCCATTTATTCCCCCACCGTCACCACACTGCTCATTTCTCTCCTCTTTCTTCTTCACGGGACTGAACTTCTTGTGTCTGGACTCTGACCTCTGCTGTCTTCCTTCCACTGTCCCTCCCTCCCTTGCTTTTTTTTTTTTTTGCCCGTGCCGTCCCACTGTCCCGTCCGTCTTCCCCACACCTCCCTGTCCCGTCGCGTGGCTTCCTGTCCCTGTTTTTCGCCCCGTGTGTTTTGTGCGTCGTCTCCGTGTCGTCTCGACCGCCAGGCCGCTTGGACAGCCCGTTCTTGAAGCAGCAGCACAGTCCCAGCGGCCCCAGTCCGACTCACCCGCCCCGGGGCCCGTCGCCCCTCCGCACCCCGCCACACGCACGGACGCAGCCCGCCGCTGCAGCCGGTAGGTACAGCACAGAACCGATAAACAGCAGCTGAAGAAGAGCCCCCCCCCCTCGAGACCCCGATCCTCTCCAGAGACATAGAGGCTGGAGTGAAGAACTGCATGTGAAGGAAACAATGTGAGCGCTTGAGAGAATAAATTCTCTCAATCAGCTCATTTTTTGGTTCCACGTGCACGTTCCAGATCTCAGTTTTAGCTCCTCGTCTCCCTAGTCCACCCCACTTAGCACCCGCACACCTTCACCCCCCCCTTTAGACCCCTTTAAACCCGCACACATCTGCGCACCAGCACCTTGAAACCAGCTCTCACCACCTGCCGCTGAATTTAACCCCCCCCATTTAACCCCCCCCAGCCCGGCCCTCCGCTCCTCCGTTCACCTGCAAATTACTGCTTTACGTTGTAGTTCAAACCACCATTGAATTCAAGTTAAAGTTGTAAAAGGGAACTAATGTTTCTGCTTACAAGCATTCCTCTAAATGAAGTGTAGGATCCTCCTCGAACTTTATGGCTGGAACCCATAAAGCTGTTTGTCGGTTTGTGTTCTAGATGTTGCGTGTCGTCTTCATCCCTCCGATGTCGTCCAGTCAGCTGCTGATGTTGAATTTAATTTCTGTAAAATGTCTTTTTACTTTCTGGTATTCTAAATCAGCTCAAAGGTCATTTTAGGAGAAAGACGAAACTACGGAATCTCACTGTTTTTTTTATTTTTTTTATCACCTCCCTTCTCTTCTGACCCTCGATCTCACGCCTCTTCTGATCCGGGATCTGCTCCCCCCCCATCCACCCCCCCCTCTGTGCGCACACACTCAAATACACACTCCTCCTGCGGCTTTCGATCCCGACCAAACTGTGAGTGTTTGCGTGTGAACGCGACGCCGTCGAGCCGTCCGTCAGTCGCCACCGTCGCTTGTGGGCCTTTGACTGGTTCTTTGCCCTTTGACCTCCGTGAAGTTGATGTAGCCGTCATTGTGTTTAAGGAACATTAAAGGTGATGTTACGTTTTAGCCCATTAACTACAAGCGCCGAACGCAACCTTTTCCTATGTTTTGCCTTCAGAAGGCTCAGACTTCCAGAACTTAAGTTTACAAAACATGACGTTGAAAGGCCGATAATCAAGAATTCTATTTTGGCTGTTTGTTGCATTAAAGTTTCATCCGTTTAGAATTCCCTAAATGCATCAAGATTTGGACATAAAAAAGGGGTAAATCAACACTTTTGCAGCAATAATGTAGCTACTGGGCAAAAACATGCAGACCTCCTTTGCTTTCTGCTGTGTGTGTCATTGCATGTCTTATGGGTTATGGGTGCCCCCCATATGACCCCCAGGTCCAGCTTCTTTTAACATTTACTACTTCCAGCAATTAGTCAGAGCCTCCAGAGGCCTTTTAACCACGAGGAGTAGTGAGCCGCCGAGCTGGATGTGCGTCACACACCTCAAAAGTGACACCGTTGTTTTCTCATCCGTGGCTCATTGCGCTCGCGTCCTTGTTGGAAATCTCGTTCTGTTTTTTTTTTTTTTTTTTGAACAGGACGTTTGACTCCCAACAAGCATGAAATCATCCAAAACATCTCAGAGAAAGTGACGTTTTTCATCGTGGAGTCGAGTGTCGCCGTGTCTGTGTTTGTCGTAACGAGTCGCGTGGCCCCGGATGTGTCGTCAGCGTTGTGACCGTGACCCACGACGCGTCCATCCGCCTTCAGCGGCCTGACGCTGAATGCTCAGAGAGGCTGTTTGATCTGGTGGTGCTTGTGTCTCGTGTCTTGGTGACAACTAACCTGGAACGCACCGATTTGTGTCCTCTTGCGTCCTCGGTTTGTGCCGTTGGCGTCAAATTGGCAAGTGTCACGCGGCGATGCAACGCGTGTGCGGCCGTCACAGTTCTCTTACACTGCAATTCAGCCTCAACCGTTTGGCACGAGACCAACGCACGAGACGAGAACGAGTCTCACGCGTTGAGATTCAAAGGTCGTGGCAAATCCGTCGGATGATTGTTTGAGTGAGAAGGCTGACAATGTGAAGGGAATCCAGGTGTTGGTCCGGCTTGGTCACGTCGCCAACTGGAGTCACAAAGAGTCCGAGTGTGTGTGTGTGTGTGTGTTTGTCATTGGGAGGTCAGGTGACCTGATCTTGCCTCACTGGATTCATGATGTATCAACAAATAAACCCCCCTCACACCCTAAAGGCAGAATGAGAAGGATGTTTAGTTGGCGTCACGTATACTCAACCCCGGGGCCTTTAGCCTCACTGCAGATTTCTCTGCGCCGTTTGCATCACGTCCTCTCGGAATGCGAGCTTGGAATTCGGCACCCGGGCGGCGCAGCGTTTTTATCGAGGCTGCAGCCCCAAAATTTTTTAAAAAAAAAATCAGAAATGACAGTCAGACGGCACTCACTTGTCCCAAGTGATGATTAAGAGTGATTACTTTGTATGGAGCTTTACATTTAAGAAATCCTACTCGGTCTGCCTTTCAGTAGACTTTACTAAAATCATATTCATGTTCATAAATCCAAATCCTGGCATGTTTGGACAGTATGAACAGCCAAAGCCGAGTGGTGCCAAAGATGATCACTGCATTTGCTTCCTGAGTGTGATTATTTTTTGCTGAAGGAAGATTTTGGCGGATCATTTTTTTTCTCGCCGTGCCTTTTTTCGACGTTGTGCCATTCTGTCCCTCCAGGGGACGATGATGGCGATGACGACGGTGAAGCAAGCACAGAGCGCAACATGGCCGCCGTGTCGCCCGTTCCGAAATTAGTCACCCCGTCCATCAAAGAGGACCTGTGCCTGGAGGAGGAGGAGGAGGAGGAGGACCGCAGAGACGAGTGGGGTGAGAGTCCACGCTGAAATCAAGTCGCCGACGCGTCCCGCGCGTGTTCTAGTTACAGAAATGCGATCGTCTCCACCAGATTCGGCGCCCAAAGCGGAACCGCAGAAGCCGCCGGTGCCGGAGTCGGCCCCCACCAAGCCGGTGCAGAGCGTGGCCCCGCAGGCCCGCGACTCCTCCGGCTTCTCCGTGTTGGAGTCCGGCCAGGACAGCCTGGTCGACCTGTGGGACACGAGCGCCGACCCTCCCCCCGACCGCTCCCAGACCTCCCGGTCCTCCCAGTCCTCCAATCTGGTGGACCTGATGGGGGACGTCGGCGTTCCACCCGGCGCCGCCAAACCTCAGCCCCTCCTCAGCTTCGACGACATGGTGGACGGCACCTTCTGCGCGGCCACCGCCGCCGCCGCCGCCGAAGACGACCCCGCCAGCCTCGTGGACGTGATGGACTCTGACCAGATGACCCTGAGCTACCAGCATGCACTGCAGCACGCATCCGGGGACAAGAAGGAGCTGGAGGACGGACAGCGGCTGATGACCAATGGGGAGACGCTGCTGAAAGAAGGGACCCAGGTCGGGATGTTGGTCGGGGATCAATTTGAAAAAGACGCTTTCTGTCTTTTTCCGTCGTTAATAGTTTTCTTTCTCCGGTTCTTAAAGGCGAGTGAGGGCTACTTCAGCCAATCCCAGGAGGAAGAATTCGGCCAATCAGAGGAGTCCTCAGCTAAACCTGCGCCTGTCTTTTATAACAAGCCACCTGGTGAGATACTTAAATATTACAGTTTTGAGCGTATTCACCCGTTGCCCTCATGACTTCTGAGGAATGTGCTTTACTGCCGACGTCGTATTCTCATATCCGCTGCTCTTCATTTCGATTGAAATGAATAAAAGACGTATTTGTGTTTTCAGAGATTGACATTACATGCTGGGACACGGACCCCGTGGTCGATGACGACGACGACTGACTAACCAGCCAATCAGACGCCGCCGCCGCCGCCGCCGGACCAGGAGGAAGGAGGAAGTAGGAAGTGCGCTTCATGAAGAAACTGAATTTTTTTTTTTTTGTCTCCCTTTTTTTCTAAAAAACTAAAACAAGCAAAAAAATGTAACAATAATAACGAATCTTGCATCAAAAGTACTTCTGTGTTATCTTTTAGAGGAAAACAAAACAGTAGCCAAAAGAGAAAAAAAGAAAGGGTTTAAGTTATCGTTAAAGATGGTTTGAAGGGTCACGGTTATGGGCTTTTTCCTGTGTTTGTTATTTTATTTATTTCTTTTTTCTTTGCTATGCACATGTAATAGTTTTTATTTTGTGTAAATGATTAATTACACATTACCGTAGCGCACTGCTGCATATTAGCGACGTTGAAGCTCAGTGTGTGACAGGCAGCCGACACGCGTAGTCTGTAGTGCTTTAATAACACCCCATTAAACTAACGCAGTGGGTCATTACAGCTGTTACTTATATCTTCACTTCATTCTTCTCTCACCTGTTTCTCACCTCCCTCCTCCTCCATGCTGCCTTCCTCATACAAATATCCAGAAATTGTCACCTGTGCAAGTCAGTTAATCTTGTGTTTAGCCCTCACTTTATTGGAAAAGGGTGAAACATTTTATTTATTGTGGTGTGTGAACAGCCGATGGGACCCTGAAGAAATCTATTCAGCCGAACGGCGGCTCCGCTTCATCCTTTTTTTTTCGCGCTCCTTTTGTATGATTTAAAGACTGAATTCAAGATTAAATGGCTTGTAAATCTGGTTGCTTTTTTCAGTGCACTTATATTTCTGTTTCTTCCTCCTTGTAGATCAAACCCTCCGCTCCGCTTCTATAGAACGAATCATTTTCATCCCACTTATATATTTACACAGCAAAAGAAAGAAAGCTCTCCATCCAATCTAGATGAATATACTGTAGATATTTTTCCTGTACTTTTGTAGGAGAGTTTGGCTTTAATATAACGAACATGAAGCCACGTTTAGCGCGTTAATCTTGTATGAAACTTTCTTCCAAGGCTTAAAATAAGACATTTTCACCAGGCCCTTCGTAAGGTGGCCATTTTTGGACTATAATGAGCACAGCTCCTGTTCACACTCGGGGGGGGGTTTGGGAGACGGGAAACCCGGCGTTTTCCTTATTCTTCAAAAAAAATGTGTTTGTGTCATTTTCTGGCGTTATTGTTCCGCTGGGATGAAAACAGCTGGAAGCAAACTTGGGGCCAGAGGGGATTTACAAATAAAACTGAACCTGTCAAACTTCTGTTCCTCTCGGGATCCATTCACACTTACAGCAAGAGCTCGTGAGTAATCTATGACCATATAAAAGTGTCTGGGAATCATAACTCGGCATCTTCTGCTTCCAATTTAATCAAAACACCTGAACGGCCTCTTCAAGGCTGCGGTGAATTTAGAAGGAACGGCACCTTGGAAGAGTCACTCCGTGCCGGGACAGAATAACGATATCCGTATTTCTGCAGAGTTTTATTGGGTAAATGTACGAGGGGGAATCGGATGAGCAGGAGCTGAAGTGCAAGAAGAGAAGCCTGTAAAACAATAAATTGCTCGGCCGACCTCTCTGCATTGTAATCGTGCTTCAAAGATGATGATGATTTTTTCTCTCTGACCACCCGGCTGCTTTTGTTCTGTGCCATCCAAAAAAAGTACAGTATTGATTTTATTTTTATTGATGCAATATTTAGTTTAATATTTAGCCTGAAGACTAGAACGCGTGGATTTCAATACCTGTCAAAATGTCTGCCAGAACTTTAAATATTGGCAGCAATATTCTTAGTTTCATTTTTTTTTTTTGCTGTAAATTCCTGTAGAAAATTAAAACTCCTAGGCAATAATAACGTGCGTGTGTGTGTGTGTGTGAGATCCTCTGAATACTGTGTGTGTGTGTGTGTGTGTGTGTGTTGGCCAGTAAGAATTTATTTTGTTTTTTGCAGATTTAAAAAAAACATTTGAATTAGTAAAAAAGGGACAGGAATAAACAACATTGAAATATCTGAGAAATACAGTTATCACTATAATATAAAAAAAGAAATTGCTAGTTTTGTGTATTGAAACAGCAAATGAATTAACTGCTCAATGAATCATTTGCTCCCCTGATTCAAAGACTTGTAGATGGAATCCAATAATGGAGACAGAAATAGTGCTAGAATAAAAAGAAGCGTTTAAAAATCGTGGCCTGTAATTCAGAGATTGCTGGTTGTTTCAGTTGCATTTGTTTACTAATTAGAGAAGACGGGTCTGTGATTAGATATTGTTGTTTCTCTGCAGCTCCGTCGCTGTGTCAAAAACAAAAATCCACTTTCTGAGACATTGAAAAACATTTTTTGGGGGATAATTGTTTTTTGTTCTTTCTCACCTCAATGTGTCACGTGTTGTTTTTGCCAAAAATGGGCTTTAGGGAGGAGCGAGCGGCCATCCGAGTCATGTCGCCTGGCTTTTACCGGTGTGGCCACATGGGGGCTTTTTAAAGCAATCACACCAACAGGCCTTATTTCATTCTATTCAGCTTGCTCAGACAAATCTGTGGATATTGCTTTGGACCCCAGCGTTATCCAATTACCTGCCTGTATAGCATGGAGCTCCTCAGTTATATGACTATAGATCAATACTAATGGTGTTTTACTACTATTTCAATGTTTTTGGTAGATTTGTGTTATTTGTAACATAGCTACATGGAAATAAATAATGTTTTGATGTAAACAAACTGTTAAGTCAATTTTTAAAGATGGACGAAACACTGAGGACGACTGAATTATGGCTTGTGTGCGTCCATCCGAAGGAGGAAGTCAGAGGACGTTGCTATGGAGACAAAAAGGAGGTCAAGGTCAATGGATGGCACTCCAAAAAGACTCAAGTTAAACACACAAAATTGGTTTATTTTCATCATGACCAACTTCTCCATCATTAACCACACAGTGGTTTTGGTCAGGTAGTCATTTTTAACCGCAATGTTTCACCAAATTCAGGGTTTTCTGACCAAACCTTATCCACAAGATGTCGATGAGGCCTTCGGATGAGAAAACACTCGAGTGTGAAGGGCGAATACGAATGACGCGTTCCGTCGTTTCATTTGGAAGGACCAAGACTTGAAAACACCACGGCTTCAAGAGGAAATCTGGCTGCGCTGTCGGAAAACAAATCCAAAACAGGTTCTCATCAAAGAGAGTAAAGATTGTAAAGCGATCTGAGGCAAATCTTTGATTTTGGGCTACACAAAATACAACGAATCAAATCAAACGGTATCGTTACTCAAAGAATGAGCTAATGAGCTGAGTGAAGTCCCACACGTTCACTGCGGTCTAGAAGTCCAACCACAGCGGACTTGTGCACTGCAGCAGTTACTAATATTACATTCGAAACGTTGAGAAGTTAAATGATCTAAATTGCTGTTGTAGTTCAGGAATCCACCGCTTGGTGGCAGCATTGTATTTCTATTCCACTGCTGGACCACCTCGGAGCTGTCTGAAAGGATGCTGCTCTGTTTCCTCTTCACCTCTGCTGTTTCACTCCATCTTAAGAAACAAATACCAGCTTTGTCCTAATCTGTCATCTGTGAGGCACTTTTCCTTCTGCTGATGTCTGGAATAGATTTCCCCGGGTGTAACCATCCCCCAAATAAACCCTCGGACGGTTTTTCCTCTTACGTGAAGGTTGAAATCCAATCAGAAAGAGGGATAATTAGCCATTTAAGTGGGACATTTCTGCAGCACCGACGTCTCGTGACATGATTAACCGAACCGAAGGTTCTGTCGGATTCACGGCTGCAGCCCTTCAATAAGACGAGCCGCTCACCTTCTCAACCCGCGTCCCAAAAGGTAACAAATTATTCAAGGTGGCGATTGCGTGCATCTTACAGAGCCACATGTGGCCATCGCCATGACAACATTAATGTTTTTCCTCGTTTAGGACGCTGCTTTTTATGGCGTAAGACGTTTATAACGTGACGTATGTTTGGTGTTTGCATGCCAAATGACCCAGTTGTCTTGTTTGTTGTGTTGCACTGACAAAAAAACCCCAAAAAAAAACATGTGTATTGTGTGGTGTCAGCAAAATGCTGCAGTGCTCACAAAGTCGTGAAAGACTTAATCAAATTATAGGAAACTAAAATCATCTCCGGACTTGTGAGACAGTGAAACCGGCCGATATGCGTTTGTTTCCAGGTCAGAAGCTCTGAACTGGTCTGAACTGGTCTGACAGGAGGAACCAGTTGGCCTTCAACGCAGCGTCACTTCCAGCCTCCAGCCTCATGCTTTTCCACTGCTGACTTGATTTCAATATTTCTCCTCGCGTTTTCAGCTCTTTAGAAAAAGACAGAAGCAATGAGGGTAACAATCAGTTCAGCATTTCCACTTTTCAAAAGTTACTTTGCCTTTTTTTTTAATTCAACGAGCTAAATCCATCTCAGCCTTTTGTGCATGTTTCATTTTTACCTGCGATGTGGTGGTCTAGAGGGAACGCGGGCGTCCAATCAATCGATGCAGCCACTCGGTGAGCCGCCTCATCAGTGGGAAGGAGCTGTGATTACACCCGATGCCTCCGAGATGCACAGAAACAAAACGTGTACATGTTTGACTGGAGGAAAGATCCAGGAACAAAAGCCTTGCATGAAAGACGGCTGCGTCTTCAACGGGGACTTAAAAAGCTTCTTAACTGCTATCAGTTTGTCTCTGATAGTGTGCAACACGGGAGAAATATTACAGCTGCAACAACTAGAAAAGCTCTTTCCTCTCTGAAAACGAGAACTGCTTCTCCCCAATCACCCACTTACAGCAGAACTGCATCTCCCCATCGGCCATTAAAAGATGGACAACTTGTTCCTCATCGCCACGGCCCTTTTTCCTTTCATCTACTTAGAGGCGCTTTTCTTAAATAAGAACAGGGTCTCTGCTACGGGACGTGCTATACGTCTCCGCTTCAAAAACCCGTCTTTATGTTCTCTTCTCTGTCTTTTCGTCTGAAGTTGTTTTTTTTTTTTGGTTTAAATTCATTTGGTTTTTCAGAACATCATTTAGGGCTTTGGAATAAAAGAGAAGCCGCTTCGTGGACTTCGCTGCCAAATGTGAAACTTTCAGAGACAAAAAACTTCTAATAATAATAATCTAAAAGGAGCCAGTTTGACTACCAATTGGAGATAATAGCTTTCACTCATTTCTTTTCTGCCTGTTAAATCTTATTTGCCTTTTCCTGTGATTTTCTTGCCTACGTTTATAGGTTATGCATTTAAATTTTGCATTGTCTCTTCCATCGCCCCTCCGGTTCTCCAACATAATAGTCTAACTTGCTGTTAACTGCTTTCATTGCCTTTTGTTGCATTGCATGCTGGGATTTCTAAAGACTCAACTTTAAAAAACCAGATGTGTGCTGGCTGGGGTCAGCCGATGTGCTGCGCTGACATTCAACCAATTAAGGTTTTAATTCAACAAAAGGAGGAAACTACCTGGTTAGAGGAAGAACTATTAGGGTTTGTTTGTGACAATAACCAGAACCAATTCTAAAATACACCAGAATTTAATCTAGCAGACGAGTTTCAGTTCCCCAGTGTGTTCCCCTGCTAGAAGAGACACACACACACACACACACACACACACACACACACACACACACACATACACACAGACGTCAGCTCACTCCCTGCTGTGAAGCTGTGAAGTAACCGTGTCAGAGAGACACTCAGGAATCAGAGAGAGAGGGGCGGGCTGATGTTCTCGCTTTACTACGTGTGAACCTGGCTGAGCCGGTTGCCAGGCAACACGTCCTCTCAAGCGCTCCGTCCCGGGGCGCGACGTTTGAGGGCTGCAGTGGGAGAAAACCTCGGATGTGTGTTTATTTTTCTCTTCTGTTAAAATGTCTCCCGGCGGGTTTCAAACTCCTGGATTAGTTGCCGTGGAAACTTCACGAGTCTTTGTCATCGATGTCGTGACCTTTATGAATAAATACACGTCCCTCTGTCGGCTGTGTGGACAAGACTTCACACCTCATAATCTTTCCCTCCCACAGGCCTGAGGAGACATGTCGAATGAAACACTAAACACTGATTATGGCTTTCATCTCATTTTCAGGAGACTGCTGCGTAGTGGAAGTGATTTATTGCTGCAGCACTTCTGTCGGCACAAACCCATCTGACCAAATGACAGCTTCTATATGTGTATATCTATAATAGTAGAGTTACAGATGACGTGGCCCACACTGTTGATCACAACAAATGCATTATTGTTATTAATTAACCTGTGTGCACCCTGCACAACGCTGTGACTATTGATTATTTTATTTCGTTATGATTTTGGAAAGAACTCACAGTCAAATCAAAAGACATTTTTTAACCGCATTACAATGGGATCATGTCAGAAAAACAAGCCCGATGACTCCCAGGATCCGGGCACGTCATCCCTGGGTACAAAAACATCTCAAGACACACAGAGACGGAGCGAACGGCACAAAAGGAACAACGACGACGTGGAGGCGTCGCTCAGCGCTCCTCTCTCTCTCATCACGGATCTTTTATCACCGGCGAGCGTATCTGTTAACGTGGTACCAGCGCCGAATGGGCCCCCCTCACTCTCTCCCTCTTTATGTAACCTCGCCAGCTGAATCATTGTCATCATCTTCATCATCAGGCTCTTTTGTCTCGGTGGCAGAAAGCGCGTCTTTAAAATGACAACGAGAGTTTGTATCCTTCACAAAGCGGCAACTCGTATCTTCTTATGAGCCGTAAACCCTCAGGATCGTTTCCGAACACCAGCCACGTCCTGGTTGCCAGTTAGGGAACAATCTTCTTCTTTTTAAGCTCATATTACAAAAATAAACATAACACGAGGCTCAGGTTTGTAATGCAGCATTGCCAGTTTTAGAAGACCAGGCTACTTTTCTCAAATTTTTACATAAACCACAATAATAATTTCTATTTTTAATACATAGATTCACCAGGAACCAAATGCACACAAACACAAGACAGACGGAATAAAAACTGCTGAAGACAAGCACGTTATATCACTTTGTGTTTCATGATCGGGCTGCAGCTCTCCTCCTTGATAAAAAGCCAGAGTTGGAAATGATTACGGCGATTGAAACCCATCATCGACGCCGTGTTGTGACGGCAGGGAACGAGAACGGCTGAGAGGAGGTTGACATTTAAACCAACTCTCTGGATTTCAGCGCCGCTCGATGGTCGTAATTGTAGATTTGTTTAAAGGGTGAATCAACGCCGATTCACCTCCGGCCTGATGATGAGCGAAGTGAAGCAGGTGTTTGACCCACTTTGCTCTTCGGGGGCTCAATGGATTCTTCTCGTCGTGGGTTCTCAGGTGCAAAGATGGAGTGTCGGGCATTACGTGGAAACATGAAGTAGAAAATCCCAGAGTGGCCGCAAACAGCAGGGCGAAGATAAATAGGGGCTTTTCCCACTAAACGTTACCTGCGAGGTACCTCTGTGAGGCACTGCTGCAGGAACCTCCTCCTCCCCCGCCAACGGGAAGCACTTTCATGAGGTTTGTGTGAGGGAGGAATTATTGTTTGGAAAATTGGAAACCTTTGGAAACCAAATGCACTTTTTGAGTTTTCTGTGTTGTGTAGTGTTGTGTTCATTGATACAGGACACGTTGTCAATCAATGACGCGGCATCATTCAGATAAATGTCACAATTAAAGTGGAATAAAAATCACAGATTGAGCACAACAGAACTGCAGTCAAAAGAGAAAGTGGGAATTCAAAGGGGAGACTCAAGGGAGCGGAAGGAGGACGAGAGTAACGCACAAGCTGAGGACAGACTTACTTAAACTCACATGGAAAGCTTCTCTGATTTGCAGAAGGAGACACTACAATCTATAGCCAAGACACAGCAAAAGGTATAATCTGACGAATACCGTGCGAGGTCCGAGGTCTGCAGAAGGCTGGAGAACATCTCATTCTGTCCTTTCTGATTATAAATAGAGCAAATTACAATATGAAGAGGAAGCCTTCAGATGAAGAGGCGGCAATTTTTGCAGCCAGCGAACCAGAACAAAATGTTGGCCGTGTGCGTTTCTGCCAAACATGTTGTCGCATCTCACAGTTTCTTAACCATTGATATGTCTTCTCTCGACATTCATATACTTTGGGTCAAGTACAACATGATCACCTGCGTAGGTTTAGTAAAATATGTTGTCTTGGGTTAAAATAATACTGCATCTTTGCATTTCGTAGTGACCTCCTCCCTATGGAATCACACAGGCTTTATGATACATCACACATAAGTAACCCGGTCCAAAATATGTATTATTTATTTTTGTACTAACATTTCATTGACCTTGTTTCATTCATCTTGTTGCGACGTAACTGGAGATTAAATGGTGAAAGTGAAAGTGGAACCTTTTTGACTTTTTGAACCTCTAAACCAAAACCACGCCTTTATTGTCAGTTTGTTAGTAGGAATAAGAGTCATAAAAAAGACACCAAATAGTAAAAAGTAAAAACACAAGCAAATGAATCCAGGACACGTTTAGTGTTGTTAATGGCTTTAATTTCAAATAAAAAATGCTCCATACAGAAGAATCCATTATTTTACGGTAATTTGGACATTTGTGTCTATTTTTTGTTCCTTAAATGAAGAAGCCCAGCTGTGGAAGATGTTTTTGTTTCACAACAGAAAAGGCATTTGTCACAAAGCTCAAAAGAACAATGGTAAATTTGTACATTAAAAAATTGTGTTTTGCCCAAATGCGGCAAAACAACCCAGCTTCCCGAATGAGGACGCACGGCTCTTTGTTCATAAAGACATCGCAAAACAACAACGCAACATGTTACAAAAAGCAAGTGCAGCCGCTTCTCTGAAGAGCTTCTTCTGCTCTACCTTTTTTTTTTTTTCTGTCACCACGTCTTCCTCTGCACTCGTCAACGCATCGGACGGACGAGCAGATCAGAGCACACGAGAAGAGGAGAGGTCGTCGTGGGCAATAGACAGTTCCCGGGAGCCATGGCAACAGCAGACTGGTACAATAGTTTGCTCAGGCACTGATAGACGAGAGGGATGAACGAAACGCGAGGGTGACATGATGTGTGTGGGAGAAGGTGAGGTGAGGGGGGAGGGGGGGGAATGAAGGGTCTGGATGAAAGGTGGAGAAACAGATGTGCCTGTCGATGCTCCTTTTGAATCACCACATTACTGGTTACTTCTTCTCTCTTCGCCCATTGAAACTGCGACTCACTCAGCGTCTACGTGCCAGCGGCGCGAGGCGTCGTTTCCCGTCTGCGCTCGCACGCGCAGTTGGAAGCCACGATCCCAGCGGTGGCGCCCCTCGCCTGAGCAGCTGCACGTCGGGTCCTTTAAATCTCCTTTTAGCTCATTTGGGGAATTTTATCTGTGCTGCTAGCTGTGTTAGTCCTGCAAACACGGAGCCGCAAAGGTGGCGTTCCGGACAGGAAGTCTGTCTTTGTAGATCTCCTCCTTGAAGGCTCCTCAGAGGTGGACCAACCTGTTGGTTAGTTAGACGGCGGTGCTGCGACCCAGCAGTGGGAAGGCTGTTGGCAGGCCACAGCTTGGCTCCAGTCCCCTCAGACCGTGGACCCCCTGAAGCCCCTGTAACCCCCCTTGGAACCCCTGGATCTCCCCTTGAAGTCCTTGTGTCCCTCCTCGCAATCCATGTATGCCTCCTTGGAGTCCTTGCATGCCTCCCTGGAGTCCTTGTATGCCTCCCTGGAGTCCTTGCATGCCTCCCCTGGAGTCCTTGTATGCCTCCCTGGAGTCCTTGTAGCTTCTTGGAAGCCTTGTATGCCTCTTGGGAGCCTTGTAGCTTCCTGGAGTCCTTGTAGCTTCCTTGTATTCCACCTCTCAGCCCATGTCCATTGTGGGTGAGTCCTGGGCTCTCGGCGGGGCATGGTAGCCATCCCGGCGTGGCGGCCTGGACGGAGCGGGCCCCCGGCGGGGTAAGGTTGTTGTGGTTCAGGTCCATGTTGGACAGGAGGTGTCCCCAGGGAGTCCCAGCGCTGGGACGAAGGCAGGCGGATCAGGGAGGAGTAACCTCGCTCGGGGAACACAGCCGTCGCGGGAGGCTTGCTGGTCTCCGATGTGGACACCGGAGCAGGATCCTGGGGTTCCCTCGGAGGCGGGGGCAGGGGGGCCGCGGGTCGGAGCGGGGCTGGCTTCAGGTAGGTGCCCCCCCGGGGGTCAGCCAGGACCTCACTGTAGGGCGGAGGAGGGTCCTCCATCAGAACGGCCTCCTCGTAGCAGGGCGGCTTCCCAAAGAGGTCTGTGTCTGGAAAATAAAGGAAAACTTGGATTAATCCATTAATCCCCAGAGTGCAACTGCAACTTAAAGTAGGTCCTCCATCCCCGTAGACCGCCATCATAATGGGACACCTTGGAACTGTTGACAGGACGGATCAAACTGCATATACGGTCAAACATTACACTTGTAAACGACGTGTGTTCAGCTCTCTCTCTCTCTCACTTGTTTCGCTTCGTCCCCGACGGAGAAACTGCAATGCAGCAAGTTGTGCAACGTAATACGTGATCACATTGACAACAGGTTGCCGTTCTCCTGTTTTTCCTACCAAACCTTGAGCGGGCTCTTGTGTCTGCTTTATAGTTTCCGTGCATTTGTTGGCTTGTTGTTTAATGGCACAAAGCTTGTTCTGTCTGTTTTGTGGGATGGTGGGATTTGGGTTTTTTTCATCGTGCGTTGGATGTTGTGGTCGATCAGAAGATCAATCCAGGAGAGTGGAGGCAGCTTGATGTGCGTCCGCAGACTTCATTTGTTCAGTGTTCTTTTTTTCATCACTTTGGTTCAGTTTTAATGAAGGTCCTGGGTCTAATTTCCATCCTCTGTTTCAGTAAATGTTTTTAAAATAATAGCAGGGTTTTTTTAAAGCCGGCTTCTTCAACAGCCCTTTCCACAGTTTTTCACTGAAACCTCACCTGCCATTTAATGGAGTTGCAGCACTACACACATTAAAAACATTTATTCCTTTTTATTCAGATCCAACCAATAAACAAGTAGTAGTTCCATCATGTGAAATAAGGGTGGTCGCTCTGAATCTCCTTCTAGAATAGCGGATTAATGAGAGAGTAAAGAGACCGTGTTGGTTCCTGATAATCTCAAATGTTAAATCTGCTCTTTGCTGTCCAATACGCAAGATACTTTCTGCAGTCATTTGTTCATAAGCAGCTACAGATTCCTAGTGTATTCCACACTAATGGACCACTCACACCTGTTGCTAAAGACTCAACAGTGAAATGTCAGACGGAAATTATGCATTCGGTATATTTGGCAGAAAAAGGTTTTAAAGTGGTCTCGGTGCATTTAAGGAGGACATGAATTATAGTCGCGGCATTTAAGTGGACGCAGCTGCCGTAAGCAATGGAGCGAGGCTTTTTTCATATTCTACCGTATCAGATATTATTTCCCACCACCGGGCTGAGACGACAGACAACAAGGCGCTACATTTTACACTCGATGGTTGACAAATGATCTTGGCATTTCCCTGTGGTTGACTGATACAGAAACAATTAACTGAATTCAAAAAATAAGGAGATGGCAAATATGCTGCGAAACAAAAGTTCACACCTGCAGCAAATTTGGAAAATGCCTCCGACCTTTCAGAGAGCCTGTGGGCATATTGTGCAATGGAGTCTATATGTTCTAACATATCGTCAGGACAAAGGAAAATATTTCGGGCTCTGGGTATCACACATCAGTTTCACAGCTTTCCTTTTTTGGAACAACGGCCAGTTTCTGTGTGCAGGTTGAGGATTCTGCCCTGATCCTGATCAATATTTGTGGAAATATTGCACCGGCTCTCGGCTTATATATTTCTTGCAGAAGCCTTAGATGGACAGAAAAAAAAGATTTGCACGCATTGCGCATTTTTAATAGGTACATTTTTTAGATTAACGTCTGAATTAATTTCCTGATGCTGTAAGAACATTCTCTGTGTGAAATGTGGAATGTGTGACGTTCTACTTTTTCTGACTGGTGAGGAAAAGGGACAAAATACTTCAACGTCTCCTAAACTTTGTTGACTAATTTTGAGACTAAAAACATTCATTTAGTGTTTCATATGCTGGTCTTTGCTAATAAGCAATTATTGCAAAAATAAGACAAAAGATTATTGCATCTGATCTCAGCCAATCCATGTGATTTGTCGTTGTTTTTTGGGGTTATTTCAGAAGGACCCGGAAGCTAATTAAGGATTTACATGTTTCTATTGGGTTACGTTACAATGAAAGATAAAATATCTATTGGGTTGAAATATTAAGTACATTATTGTCATCATTTTAACTGTGGTAGACAAACAATTTGCTTGTAAGAGTTTTACAGATATAAATTCAGCACAGTAGCACGACAACCTGTAGCGTAACGTTTCTGTCAAATGGATGCAAATGATCCCTCATGATCACAACCGACCCATAGCCTCAACATGTGTGCATCCTCTTTGTAGTACTGTTGCCGTGGCGCCGGATGTATTTATAGCTGCGAATGGTGTGTGTTCTTGTGTGTGTGATTGTACCTGACCGTCACTCCTACGGGATCCGACCCTCGGCTGTTAACTCCCCCCCCGTCCATCTCTCCCTGCTGTCAAAATCCCAGCTGCCAGAGCGGCTTTAAATAAACATCGGGCCTGATGCTCTGAGGATCAGAGGCTTTTGTTTAGCGGCAGTCAGCTGTGTGAGGATGAGGCGGCTGACTGTGTGATACGGTGGTGTGTGACGGTGTGAATCGGGGTGATCATGTCATGGACGATGGGTTACACGACTGATCCTTTCGTTTCATGTTTCCTTTTACTAAGGTGTCCGGAGAGCGGCTTTGACAAACCACACCTGCCACAACAGGTGGGTAAAAGGCACAGCCTCCATTTTAACCCAGTCGACGTAGAGATGTTAATACATGTAGGCTATGCACTTACTGTGAACATTTATTCATTAAGCCTGACTCAACAACTCAATAAGTTAACTCCATTAAGTTTTATTCGGCGCTGTCTATTCGTGTAATTGTTGTGCAAACTTTGAGTTCTGTGTTAACCTTTCCCAATCTTTTTCTGCGGTAACCTCATTCAATCAGGGCCACGTAGTGCTTCTTGCACGCTATTAACACAAACCGTCCCCCCCCCCTCCCAACCCGCCGCTGCTCGGAACCGAGCGTCTAATGAGAGCCGCCCGCAGTGTGAGCATCCTGTCAGAGGGCCAGTGAGGGACGACGGCTGAGTGATGCATGAAATCGGTGTTTTTAACCGTCTCCCTTCTGCCTTTTGGATGCTACAAACCGGTGAGATGCAGTTACAGATTCAACTTAATGAGAAATATGAAACACTAAACTGCCGCCTCTGTCAAACTGTGACAGCTTTTCATGAAGTTATGGTTTCTTGCAGGATTCTTTGAGTAAAAATTGCTTCAGTTTTACGGAGGTCGCCAAGTAAACTGGTCCCGCGAAATGGCGCCGGGTTAAACGAACAAAATGCATGTTTATTTGCAATTTGTTTCCTTCCCTAGTGCCTCTCACACTCGTCTCGTTGATCGCAGCTATCTGGAGAATTTGGAGATGTGGAACGAGTGTGAGAGCTGATGGGATTCTCCTCCCCTCCTCATCCCTCCACAGAAGCAGCTCCGGGCTTCTCTCTGTTCCGCTCAGCTGGTCGGCACCTGCTTCTCCTTTAGCTCGGCTGCTGCCTGGATACTAAACCTCTTCATCAGTCTGCTTTGTGACCGCGGCTCCAACGGCCTTTTTGTTTTATTCCTCGCTGTCTGTCTTTGCTCATTAACCGATCTGAGCTGATGCTCTTCCACTCGCTTTCCCTTTTTCCACGCTTCCTCCAGTCTTTACTCTCCACAGAAAATGTGGGAGTTTTAGGAGACACTCCCCCTCTGTCATTTTCCCTTTCCTGATTCTTATTTTGTTATACAAGTGAACTTACTTGGAAGGCATTTTAGTGTTCTTAAAGAAACTGAACGCAAGTAACGAGGAAAAACTGGAAATCTAATGTGACCACGGAGGTTTCTCCACGTCCAAAAACCGACGCTGACGGCATCCCCGCATCACAGCTCGAGCCGTAGGGCAGTTGGCAGAGAGTCGATATTTGCAGAGTTGTGCATGAGAACGTGTCGGGCAGGAGGGTGTAGCACGACGTTCGGTGTGGTGCAATCAAAACTGCTTCACACGGTGACCTCCTGCCAAACATGCCAGTGGAGCAGGCCCGTGACCTGCCGCGTCGCTCTCCGTTTCGCAACTGGCAGCAGGCACCGCGCGAGCGGCGCTCCCCTCTTGCCCCACACTCCCCCTTGGGGGGCGTCTCTTTTTCTTTTCGTTTCTGCTGGAGTTTCGGCCCGTTCGCGGGTTGCTGCTCGCTCCGTCACCACTGGGCCTCCACAGTCACCGCCCACGCCTCAGCGGCAGCTGTCACCATGACGCCCTGCGGGGGGGGGGAGCGCTGCCCGGCCGGCAGGGAGGCGCGAGCTGAGAAGCAAAGTGTCTGAAAAAGGATCAACCCTCGTACGGAGGATGGGGATTCATTCCGTGTTTCTCATTGTTTGTTGTGTTGTGTTCAAACGTGCCTTTGATCCGTGAATGTGGGGAAAAAGGTTTGAAAGAAAATTTCTTGAGGTAGGGAACAGATTGATGTCCTGTGGTGACTTTAGTGTTGCGATTAATGGATGAAGTAGTTCATATTTAAACTTGAAAGTGATGAGGAAAGAAGAACGCTGCAGGCCGGACATGCACCTGGAATGATATTAAAGTGTGTAGCGCTCGAGAGTTGATGCTCTATATTGAGATTCATTCTGACGTCTGAGGGCCTTCCACACCTTCAATTTCCCAAAAGCCCCTCCATTACATCCTTCCGAACTGTTCTTCCACCGTATTGGATTGTAAAATCTGCAACGGTGCCTAAAGAACCGCTGAGTGGCGGCGTGCGAACGGGGAACTTACCTGGCATGCTGACCCAGTTGGCCTGCGGCATCGGATGAGGGACCTGCAGAGGCAGAGGCGGCGACAGGCTTCGAGGAGGGACGAACTGCGGCGGCTCGCGGGGCAGCTGCAGGGGCGGTGGGGGAGGCGGGGGAGGAGGCGGGTACCTCCCCCCCCCCCGGGGGGCCAGCCGAGCGGCTCCATCTCCACGGTGCGCAGGCACTGCTCCCGCAGCCGCTCGTCGTGGCCGCGCTTCAGCCTGCGCTGCAGGAAGCTGCAGAAGCAGCAGAGCAGGACGACCAGCGCCCACACCAGCCAGAAGCCGGCGAAGCAGGCCAGGAAGGTGTAGGTGCCCTGCGACATCACCATGGCGACGAAAAGGCGGGGGGGGGGCGTGCCGAGAGCTCCCAACGAGGCGACTTTTGGGGCGATGAGACGGAAAAAAAGACAATTTCTGGCACTTTTATCACATTCTGGGATAAAAAAATGTAAAAAAAGATATTGCAGATTAAAATGTAATCTGTCGTTGCTTCACCGGCAACGACAGTTCGGCGGCGTCGCTTGAAAGCTGACGCATTGAAGTGAGTTCAAAAGCGACGGCTTTCTTCCAAGATGGCCGCTGTATATGACGACTTCTTGTTGATCACGAAAGTCATTTCCAAGATCCTTGGAATTGCTAAAAGAAGTTAACAGGGATAATAAAAGGGATTTAAAAACAGTTCCAGATGCAGAAACATTCCGTCAGTGAGACGTCCTGGATGAGTTCATGAAGGGCTCAGTAAAAAAACAAAAAAGTTTTTGTTCAATGAAATGTCATCAAAATGTTCTCCGAAAAGCAGAGGCTCGAAGGACCTGGATGCCACGAGTTGATGATGAGGTTATTTGCCTTTAAAATGTTGAGGGTGGCTTGTTTTTTTTTAGCACATTGTCCACCTCGTTCAGAGATTCATCAATTTCAGGACGGACTTGCATTAACACTGAGTTAAAGGACGCAAAAGGATTGTTGTTTTAAATCTAAATATTATAGTTCCATTCATTTTGACTAGTAAGTAGACAGTATGTATGTTAGTCAATCTTCTGTATCCTTCCAGATGTTTTAGAAATCAGCTCGTTTACATGGAAATGTGTCTGAGTAGATAATCTTGATCTTGTTACTCCTCAAGATTACAAATGAACTCTGCGGCTCCACTTCAACCGCAGCAAAAATGCAATTTAATTCTCCAAAAAGCTTCACCAGCCTCCTTTAACAATCCACCCACTCGACGCTTATGGCTGAAAGCTTTTCCATCTTTTCTGATGAAAAATGAAGTTGATACGGCATCATCGCCTCATTTTTGCAGCAGAACTTTGAGTCCAAGATACAAGAGGGAAAAAAAAATAAGTTGAATCTGAAAAAGAAAAAAAAGCCAACGTCCAATCAGAAGCAGCGACACCCCCGATGGAGCCGCGTGGATCCCCGTCTTTCCGCGTTCAGTCGAGGAACTGGTGCCTTCGGAGCGGCCGGCGTCCGTCCCCTCGGCCTCACGCCGCACTACAAAGACACACGGGGAGGACACGAGACCACCGTCAGCCGTCTCCAGAGGACGAGTTCAGACAACAGTCCGGGCAGTAAAAGTATCATTAAGGTATGAGATCAACAGGCATTTATAACGAAACAGAAAGCAGCAGAATAATTGTTAAATCTTTTCTTGTTTCACAGTATTTGGAAGCCAAGGTTGTACTTCATCATCCGGTAATGCACATCACATTATTCATTTTTTGCTGAAACATGGAGGACCGTCTGCTGTGGATTTGGGGTCAAATCCCCAATGCATGATGAACACTTTAGTAGACGGACCACGAAAAAGAAAGAAAAATGGGACCACTACCCAGAGTGGAGGGCTTGATTTGAATGTAACATCCAATGTTCCCCCCAATTCTACAGGGAGAACATTAAATATTAGATTCATCCAAAGAAACAAAGGGAAAAAAGTATAAGGAGAAATAAGAAAAGAAAAGCAACAAGAACGCCACTTTAATTCCATTGGAAACCATTAATTCATCTTTTTTCGAGCTTATATTTCTGATAAATGTGTTTTTTTTTAAACTAGAAAATCATTTTGTGTTAAAGCCCGAGAAGAAGCAGCTGATATCTGCTAAATTTTAGCTGGAACAAAACTGAAACCTTTTTCACACATCGTTGACACAAACGAGGGCACAGACCGTCCTCTGGACCCGGAGACGTTGTGCTCCTTCACAGATCTCAGCGACCCCGAACAGACCTCCGTCTGCGGGGATCTGACAAAGATTCCTGCCAACGGATCATTTTATGCCGAAACTGTCTGGCGACGAGGAGTTTGACGCTTCAGCGAAGCCTCGTTTGCATCCGACACAACTTCAGCAGACTTCATGTTAAGTTTTATTTGAAATGCGGCTAAATGCTAATATGTGATTAGCTGGTTTATCTCTGCTCACTATAATTCCTTTTGCTTAATTGAGTTAAATGCAAGTGTGTTTGATTGACAAGCAACATTTATAAATGTAATTAAAAGCAAATGCTAATTAGGTGCGTTTTGCATGAGCTGGTTTTGGCCACCGCACAGTTCTGTTGGAAATCGGCGGCAAACCAAACAAGAGGTCTCTTGAGGAATTTCTTTTGGCGCGTGTGAATTTGTTCTTTGGTGTCAGCTACAGTCGTGTTTCAGGCTGTAGAGCAAAAAAAAAAAAAAGGCACAATAAAGGAACCCAGCGAGCACAACAGCTCGGTTGGGCAGGTGAGGAAGTTGTGTCTACTTTTGTAATTTCCCTAGAGCACCTGGGCAGCCGCACGTGACACACAACCTGAGCTAAATGCTAATATGAAGGAAATCGCTGACATGCTGACTGAAAGAATATTGAGATTCTGATTCTCAGTACATATAATGATCGCCCCAATCCAAAGTATTGCAAACTTTATGTTGTAACCAAAGATATTAGGGTCTAATATCTTTATATATTATATTTCTTGTGCTACAGCTGAGGGCCGGGGGTGTGGGTGGGACAGGGTGTGTTTTCTTGTGTTATGTAATGCTGTATTTGTTTGGTAATTTAGCTATTTCTGTCCAGATGCTATATGTGTATCACAGGGCTATCCTGTAAACATTACATTACATTACATGTCATTTAGCTGACGCTTTTATCCAAAGCGACGTACAATAAGTGCATTCAACCATAGGGTACAAACTCAGGAGAACAAGAAACAAGAAAGTGCAATTTCCTCAAAAAAGCCAATTTACAATTTGCTATAGATGAGTGACGTTACAAGTACAATTTAAGTGCTACAATTTGTTAGTCTTTAGTCGAGGTAGAGTCTGAAGAGGTGTGTCTTTAGTTTGCGGCGGAAGATGTGAAGGCTCTCTGCGGTCCTGGTGTCTTCAGAGAGCTCGTTCCACCATTTCGGCGCAAGGACAGCGAAGAGTCGAGATCTAGTCGAGTGTTTTGCTCTCAGTGAGGGAGGGACGAGTAGTTTTGCAGATGCAGACGATTATAAATCGCGTTCATTTACGGCTGCTGTCAGACAGCGACCCTGCGGCTCCTTTGATGAAGTGGAAATGTCTAAAACAGACAGTTGTATTAAACACAAAAGACATAAGAATTAAACGTTGCAGCCGATTTTACAAACTGTTTTATGCTGCCAAGACTCATCAACTGAAACTCAAGCCGAAAACGTTCAAACGTTTTAATTTGGGTTCGTCCTCTGGGAGATGCACAAACTGTATCTCGATTGTATTTCTCAGACTGCTGATCTCTGACGGCATAATTAACTATTGGTTGGGCCACTAAATAAATGCCGCACGAGCGTAGGAAACTCTTCACAAACTTCACCACAGTCACGTCAAAGTGAACTCCGCAGCGTTCCTGTTGGGTTTTTTCCCTCCGTCTTCCACGTGACCTCCGTGTGTGTCTGCGCTGCGATGGGGAATCGTCCGAGGTGATTCACCGGGGAGGGGCCTTCACTTCGCGGGGTCGTGCAGCCGCTGATATTTCGATCTGCGAGCGCTGACATGGAACAGAGCTTTTGTTTATTTCCCCACGCTTCCTGCTCCTCCGATCCAGAGCGTTACGTACTGCGGCCCACTCGTGTACAGTGCACACTCGCACTATATTTATATCCCTCTTTGGGTTTTTTTTTTGTTGTTTTTCTGTCTCTTATCCGGAGTGCAGTTGGAAATAAAAGTGCTCCAGCTCTGATTTAAAGGACCGGATGAGTCAGATTAAATGTGAATAGGCGAAATACAAAGGCAATAACGGTGGAGGAGGTTCCATCATGAACCATTTAGTGTTTTTTCTCACTTTTATCCATGTGGACTGCTGCAATTTTAAATGATACAGAGTCCGTATTCTAAAAAGCTGGAGTTGTTGTTTCGTTGTCAGATGATCCTCACATGTAGGAAGCTGTGGCATCAAGCTGTTGTTTTTGCTCTAAAGATAACTTGAATATATAACTGAATATATTGCCACGATAGATGAGCTAATCATTTGCTCGCCTCTAAAAATCATCCAGTAACAGAAAATCCAATGTTGGCGCAGTCTTTGGATGCCGTACATTTTGTCCTGCGCGGTTTTCGAGATTAGTATTCAAAACCATGAAGTTGAAAAGTCTTCTAATGTCCGTGTGAGAAACGGAAGCCAGGCACCAGTTTCAGGCCGACCTCCCGGCCCGGGCCTCCAACTCGCGGGGATTCAAGGACGCTCTGAGGGCCTCAGCAGGGCCCCCGTCTCCTCTGCAGGTTCAGAACGTCCGTCGTCACATTTCACTCAAATCAACTACTTTCACCAGTAAGGAGATCTCCTGCTCGTGTCCTTGGACTCTTTTAAACTGCTTGTTTTATAAAGATTAACGGGCTTTCACGCGGTAACGTTTTTACATCCATGTTGCCTCAAAGGTTTGACTACCAAACTTAAGATGAGAAAAAGAAAACCTTTATAAATTCCCGCTGATTTCTGAATCACTTCAGCCCCGACTGACATCAATGGGACACCAAATGTAAAATGTGACGTCTTCAAGTCGATGCTTCTTCTGGTTCACCGTGTGGCTATTTTGGACTTAGTCTGTAGCTTATTATCAACAACTATACCGCTGAGCGGGATTCTGTTCTGCAGGACGTGACCTAAAATATCAAATCACCATTCAGACTTGATGAAGAGTTGGGAATCACCAAATGAGCGAGATTCATCCTGTGGGGACCATGAATGTTTGCACAAATCCATCAAGCTGTTGCGATATTTCAGTCCCGAATGAAGCGTCCTTGATGGACACCTGGTCGAGTCCACTGGTCTCCTCACACGGAGTCAATAGCAAAATATCTCAAACGCTAAATGGGCCAATCTGGAAGAAGAAAATGCCAAGAAAATGAAAAGAATGAATGACGTAATGAGCCTAAGATCATGATGTTGTTGGGTGTACCTAATTAACTAAAAGAAATGTGGGTCAAATTGAGGAAAATTGTACATATATTTAGTGTCAGCTTTATGTTTTTGATCTCTATAACTTAATCTCTAAGAAACAATATGAAATGAATCTGCTGCTCTGTAAAAGAATTCAGCTGTAAGTTGTTTGCATAGGACCCTGTGGGGGGGGGCATGTCCTCTACCAGGGTGTGTTGATCACAAACCACAGATTCTTCACCGTGCGTTTCAGCAGCTCCGAATGAACCTCCGTCGTGTCCGTGTCAAGTCACCAAAACACACACAGCTCATCATTACGCAACAGACGCACTGCTGTTTTGTTTTTTTTGTTTATGCTTTTTAAATTCTTTCATTTCCTCCACGAGGGAAACGTTCGTCATCCTGAGACTAATCATCAGGATTATGAGTACAAACGGCGCATTTGTGACGAGGAACATCCTCTCCAAATGGATACCATGAGATGAAGTGACAGCGCAGGTAATAAAATACCTGAACCAACAACAACAACAACAACAACAACAACGGCGTTGCTGAAAGCTCACAGCATGTGTGTGCACGCGCGCGCATGCACGCACACCACAGGTCCCTGTTTGAATCACATTTTGCCTCCAACAATAAACTCACCTTTTAATTCTGCAGGATCCTGCGCAGAGACGACGCGCGCGGCGCGCACTGCGCCGTTTAACTTACTAACAACGCGGTGTATAAAAACGCAACAAAACACGAAGCGATGCTTAGAAAGAAAGAAAAAAAAGGAGAAGAAAAAACAAACACTTGCCTCATCCGTTCCCTGCCGGTGTGTGAATGCCGTCCGCCGGCTCCGGTCAGATGGTCGCCCCCTCCCTCCCTCCCTGCCTCCCTCCCTGCCGGGAGAAGCGCGTCGTGTTCGGGATGTCTAGCGTAATAAAGCGAGCGCTTCAGACGTTCACCTTGACAGCAAAGGCTCCCCCCTCTCTCCCTCTCCCCCTCACTCCCTCTCTCCCTCTCCCCCTCACTCCCTCTCTCCCTCTCCCCCTCTGCTGGGTGACACTCAGCCTGTCTGCCTGTCTGGATGATGGGAATACAAAGTGCCGGCAGGGGGTTTCCAAGGACGCACGACTTGGCAGGGGGAAGAGCTGGTGGGGAGGTGGGGGGTGGGGGGGGGTTCAGGGTCTAAAGATGGAAAGCTGAAGGTGATAAAATATGTGGACGGTTTTTGCATGTGTATGCAAACTAGCATTGCTGCTGCAGTGGCTTCCACCGCCTGTGTTCAACTCTCTTTACACACGGATGTTTAATAGAGAGCCTCTCGCTGGGAGCGGTCGTTCCTAATTAATTAGAGGGGGGCGGCTCATTCGGGGGCCCCAGTGGCTGCAAAGCTGCCAGTGGGACAAAGTGTGGCACTGTAAGTCCTGTAGAAATAACTATAATTTCTGAAACCCACAATTTGCTGCCGTCACGTGTCATTATTATTCAAGTTATGGTTGAGAGGCCGCTGTGTGGGAAAACACGATGCACGTGCCCCCCCCCGAGTGGCTGGAACGTATCTGCTGCTATTTGGGGCTGACCGCCTTGACACCCCGCTGCCGTTTTGGCTATTTGCCGCGTACTGTTCTCGTCATCTGTTCATAGTTGGCAAAGTGTTCATCCACAAAACAGTCTGCCTTGATATCCTGAGATATCTGTACAAAGCACCTGCTGTTGGCATTCTTCTCTTCACCCAAAACCCGCGATTCAGGGCCGGTTCCCCCGTCCGAACGCACCTTTGTGCGCTGTGTTTACGTTCTGTACATTACGTTTGCCCTACTCCAGAAAGTGTCTACGGCTAAATACCACTCTGATACTTCCTATGGCGCTGAGGCTACCTGTAAAAAGGCCGAGTCGCTAACGTTAGCATTCAGCTCAATGTGATAACCTCTCTCTCATCACACGGCTGCGGTGTCCTAAGAAGACCTCCATGCAGAGCTTAAATTGATTTAAGCGACACCGTGACCTTTCGTCTGACGCCAACAGAGTATAAAATTTCTACTGCTGAGACGTGCTGCGTTTGGGGGGGTGTTTTTTCTCCGGTGAAAGGGATTAAAAGCCTCAGTACTCCGGAGCACTTCGGCAGAGAGGAATTGACGGCCGAGATCAAAGGAACACTCAGAGAAGGAGCGGCGCACAAGGCCTCCGTGCGCCCCCGGGGGGGGGTCGAGGGGAAGGGGGTCAATTCTCCACCGGTTTCCGCTCCTCGGAGGGGGGGCCCGAGCCGTGTGCGTCTCTCATCGCCCCGGCTACCTTTAGCCTGAGTAGATGTAGGGATTAGAGGACGAGGCACAAGACGTCGCGCGTGTCAAAATCACTTCTGATCCTGAAATAATGAGAAACTCAGTGTGGCGCCACAGCAGTTGGGGAAGCTATCGATGTGATGAAGACGAGCAGAGAGTGTGGCCACAAAGACGTTTCGATTAGTTCAAGTGATTTGAGGCTTATTCTTGACTGCGCGATGGATTTATTTGGATGGCCGCCTGCCTCTCGAATCAGAGAAGAGAACGTTTTGTTTTCTAGGTTTTAAAAGGTAACGCGACCGTCCGTCACGTGTGCCGCGCGATGAGAGAGAGAGACGTGTCCGAGCTCACGTACCTGAGGCTGATTTGACTGCCAAACAGCGTCGCTTCGTCCTGAGATGGAATTCAAATCACGGGGAGACGCCGGCCTCTGGAAGCGGCAGCCTGAACCGGGCACCAGTGTCACGTTCCATTTCTGTGAATTCTGCAAAGAAAATGTGTTGAAAACGTCAAACCGTCTGGCACCGTGATTTGGATTCAACTTTATCCCAGACGGACGGGTGGAAATGTTCTTGGCAATTGTAGGTGTTTTTTTATTTTTTAATGGCATGAAAACTCATCTCTACTCTTGTAATAATTCAAGTGTGTGCAGCTACATCGATTAATGAGAAGGAATGTGTAGATGTCCCATGAAATCCAACTCATCATGGAGCAGGAGTTGCAGTTGTAATTGTTTGCTGACCAAACTAAGTCTTTTTTCCGGTGAAGATGATCTATTTTGAGTGAAAAGACAGTGTGCATGTTACGAAGTCGACATGCGATGCCGGACTGAACTCAAGGCCAAAGGTTTTGACCATTTGGTTTTGGACCTTTCGTGCCTCTTGCTTAATGAGCGGCAACAACCACTTCGCCACCTGCGATAATAGAGCACAAACGAAAAGAAGCTGATTCTGATCTTCGCTGGGAGTCACTGACATCTGAAACAAGCTCTTGTAAAATCAGCCAGTCAGAGCCAGTAAGAGACCGGCAATGGCGATGATGATGATGATGATGATGGTGACGATGATGATGATGGTGATGATGATGATGATGATGATGATGATGATGATGATGGCGATGATGATGATGATGGCGATGATGGTGATGCATACTTCTGTCACTTCACACAGCGTTTGATCAGATTCTGGATGCGGTTGAGATGAACACTCGGTCTGTTGTCTTCATCAGTTCCTCCGTCATAAAGATCAGTCTGTTCGTTCACACACACACACACACACACAGACACACACACACACACACACACACACACACACACACACACACACGCGCGCGCGCTAAAGGTCTTCGCCTTTTGTCCCTTGGCGTCACACAGCTGACTGAGCACTGGCCTTTTCCTGTAGGAATTTGTTAGAAGTTTCCTGCATATGTAAAATCTCAACTTCCGGATCGGCTCCACCAAGTTACAGTAGATTGAAAAAGTGTTGCTCGTCACTAAACAGTAATTTGCAGGTAGCGTTTCTAATCCTAATCTCGTCTAGCTGGCGAGCACCAAAAAAAAAAAAAACATTTGCAAAAGGCTTTAAAAATGAAGAGCGGGGAAGACGGCTAAATGGAAGCACGGGGAGCCGGAGAGACGGTGAGTTTGTCCTCCAGCAGTGATGAGCAGGCGGAGGCGCCGTGCACGGTTCAAACTGGAACCCCCCCCCCCACCTGCGCCCCACCCACCCACCAATTCAACATGGCGTCAATAAAACAGTACGGCTACGAGCCGGGGAGCATGGCATCGCTATGACAACAGCTCTCTGTGGCAGCGGAGGAATAACGAGCAATCACACGAAGAGAGACGCGGACTCTGCTGCTTAATTAGACTCCTCTCCACTTTTACTTAGTGTTGTGGTTTCCACGCGACACCCTGTGAATGTGCGCGGGCTTTATGGTAATGTGACTAGATGCCCTGCATTCACCGGAGACTGTGCATAATAAGGAAGACTCCTGCTCACAATGTTTAGAGAGGTAGTGAATCGACTGAGAAGTAGGAGGGTTTCCTCTCTAGGTTTATCCAGATTTCAATCTGTCCTTCAACTTCTGTCTTTTAACTTTCAAACAAAAGGTTGATTCTTCTCCGCAGGCGCAGCTTCTGGGGGAAAAAAAACGCGTGGGTGTATCAAAGTTTGAAAAAATCCCTCTACTCAATTCTTAAGAGGGATGCGCTTTTGATGCAAACACAGGAGTCATGCTATTCAAAGAAGTGCTGAGTCCCCTCCTGTAGGATTAGCTTTTGATGTAAAATACGTGCAGGTAATCAAGTATTTCATATGTCGTGTGTGTTTTCTATTTCTATAAGGCCTTTTTACTATCACGGTTTAGTTGTTGTAAAATCCCTTTTTATTAAATGTCTTGATAATCACCTGAGGATGATTACACTAAAGCCGCCCCGTCTCCTCCTGGGGGATCGCGAGCAACAGGCTTTTCTCACTTCCCATGAGGCTTTGCTGCGGTTGCCGGGGGCGATGGGTCATTAGTGCTGCCACCGAGGGAGCGAATGTATTAAACTAACTAACTAACAAACCCGACTCATAGCAATTCTATATTTAGTGTCTTTGGCTTGAACAACTGGCAGCGTTTTCAGGAGGTTTTTTCACACATACAAATAACACCTGTTATTTGGGAACACTGTTAATCATTATTAATAAACTAAATATTTCCTTTTTATTGTCTTTCAAAAGCAATGGCAGGAGGCAAACCAAATGAAGGCCTTGTTCCCAGAACCTGGGCGACGTCCTTGTGAGGGATTATGAAAAAGTCGGAGTTTTGGCATCCGAGCGACCCAAATGTCTGGGCTCTATTTCAATCCCCCCCGACAAACCCCGGGAAGCTGCTTCCCCTCCAACCGAGACGATGAGCGACGTAGTAACAGTTTATTCTGAGATCGACCGAGGGTCTAAAAATGGAGCCGTCGGTGGATCCCAGTGGGTGGAAACTCTTTGCAAAAAGCTTTGCAGCTGACGTGGTTTCCACTGTCGAGCAAGTCGCGGGTCACACGTGGCGATGTGAGACGGCAGGAATCAAATGTGCTTCCTGCCTCGGTGGCAGCGTGTCGGCCGTTCGCTCCCTACACTTTGGTCCTTTTCCACTGGCAGCAGCACGATCCGGATCTTGATTGCGACAAGATTTGGTACAATTATTCCCCTTTTTAATCGGGCCCTCTGCTCGCTGCCCTTAAGCACCACCTGGTCTGTTTATTCGCTCCTCACCCTTTTTGTTTTACATTACTTTGACTGTCTAGAGTCCCACCGTTCGCCTGCATCGGGGTCCTGTTTGTCTCAGCCTGCACGTCGAGTTCTGCTCAGCGGAAAATGTCAAGAGGTCGGCACTAATGCATCATCTCGTGGTGGGAGTTTTGTGTCAATCTGACAAGTGCCTGTTTTGATATTCCACAGCATGATTGAGCATTTTAGCATTGTGAGTAGAATACATCACGTGTCAAACAAAAGGGGCCTTTCTTGAGAAGACAACGTTGGCTTTAAACCACACGAAGCTGAAATTGACCCCCGGGGGGCCCATCAGCCGAAGTCCCAACCGGTCGTCTCATCTGAGTGAAATAACAGTATAACGATGGCACGAGGATGAAGCGTGGGATTCATCCCAGAGGACGAGATGGCGTGACGGAGGGACGGGGTCGATCAGAAACACGGCGGTCCGAGTGGGATCAGGGAGGCCTCACAGCTCCGAGTCAGCGTGTGTGTGTGTGTGTGTGTGTGTGTGTGTTTGATCAACTGAGAACGGTGACAAATGTGCACGTGTGGGCGAGTCTGTGTGAGAAGGAAAAGTGTGACTGCGTGACGATCCAGAAGTGACACAGCACCACACACACGCACACACACACACACACACACACACACACACACACACACACTGTACACACAGTGGAGATCTTTGTGCTGAGACGTCCATTCAAAACTGTCATCGGTGCCCCTTTTTTTTTTCTCTCATCCAAATTTCCCTTTATTGGCACGGACATAATAAAGTCCAGAATTGCGAAATCAGATTTGATAAGTTTTATGATTTATGTATAGAAAATAAATTGAATTCTTGAATAGAGAAGCATTTTTCTCGTGAGGCTTATGAATAAAGCGCATCAACATGAATGATGAAATGGGGACTTGAGGACGACTGAGCTTCAGCGTTTCTTAGCATGCGGTCGCGTATGTTGCCGTTGACGACCGTTGTGCAGAAAATTGTGCACATGTGAATTGCATAATGACATCCGGGGTATGCAAATGATCACTGTAATGTGGAAACTTGTGTGAATTTGTGCAGGCTTTGGCTACTTTCCACTGAAAATATTGGGCGACACTTCGTTAGCTTCGCTGATGAGATTTGCAGTTTCAGGAAACGTGACATTTAATTTAAAAATGTGATTTTCTCTGCCCAGTGACGGGAAGAAACAACAGTTTAATAAATACTGTGATTGTTTTTCTGCTGGTGAATAAGGCAGCGTTTCATGAGGTGTGCTGGAGATCAGTGGGGTCATTTGGCTTTCTGTTTTTGAGACGAGCCAAAAGTGCCGGGATCCGATTAAATAAGTGGATTTTGTTTTGAATTATATTCCACAAAATGACTCATGTGCTACAGAAGTGTTAAAAGCCTTTTAACAGTGTTGCCTTGAATTTACACTGCTTTTCAGCATCGGCTCTGTCAGGGAAATTAATAATGATGCTTTTAATGCGATCAACAAATAGTTTCAAGTGGGGGAAGGATGAGCAGTTCTCTGAGGAACGTGCTTTGTTCAATGAGTAGATGGAGAATAAAAAAACGCCTAATTACAGAAAGGAAAGGCCAAAGAATTACTAGAGATTAAATACGAGAAAGATCGTGTGAGCAACAGGATATTGGACTGACACAAACGCACAGAGGAGCTCAAGCGCTGAAATAAAAGTAACATCATGGGCGGACAACATGTCGATATGGCCCAGCATCACAACATCCGAGACCTTTTCTTATTTTATCGATTCCATGGCGGTGGATGGGAATGCAATTAATAACCTGAAAAGCTCAGAGGCGTTTCAGTACCTCCATTCCGACAAAGTGGGCTGTGTACTTTTACACGATATGGGCAGTTTAATTTACCTAAAGGCCGATGTTCAACCAAGCCAGTCCGTTAACAATTCAGCGCGTAACGCCTGGGTTTTGGTTAGAGATGTGGAGACTGCAGGCTGTACCTGTAGCCATGCAGCCGCTACGTTAGCCCATCTTATGCTTGTATTAAGATGTTTGTATGTATCCGTGTGTTAATATATAACAGAACACGAAGAGTCATAAAAAGAAAGAGTAATCCCCTCTAGCCTGCCTGCACTAAAAGCATTTAACCCGTCAAAGTCGACTGACGAGCGTCAAAGTGCGCACCCCTGACATATCTATTAATAGCTTCGGAATGGATAAAGGTATTAACTTACTTTTTTTTCTATGAAAAAGCTGACATTCGTCTGCGTAATAATTAGTAGACTGTGTTGACTTCCGCGGATGATAAGCCTTCCGTATTAGAGTGCAAATCTATAGCACTTTACCGCAAAACAGAGAAATGTTTTTATCAAACTGATTTATTTTATTTATCTATTTGCTTTTACTTTTTTAAATATTATTCACTTATCATTTATCACTTTATTAAATGTTATTTATTTATTTAATATTTAATTATATTTTCTTCTATTATTTTATTATTCTTTTCAGATTTTTCCAGATTTTTTTTATATAAGTCTAAATAAATTCAGGCATTAAGGGGTTAAACATACAACGCATACGGGGGAGCACGTCCACATTGGCGCCTTGTAGATGGTTGATGGTGAGAGACTCACTCCTCGTCCCAACTAGAAATCTGGAATGATTCAGTCGTTATTTCTCAAAGGACGCCGGCGGTCGCGTTTAAATCGCTCGTCCTGTTTGACAGAGATCAGCGTGTATCTGTGGAGCATCACGGACGTCACTGAGGCTAAAAAACGAGCGTGAATCACAAGGTGTCGGATTCCTGATGTCTGACTATCGGGCCGGGATTTGGACATCAGTCCAACCGGCCCTGAAGTGACGTTTTTGGAAGACAGAGACCAAAATATTTTCATCAACTTCCTTTCACCCGCTCATATGACTATAGTAAGAATTTCATGACTCTTGATGATTTATTTTTCGAACACGGAACCCCACCGAGAGGAACGGTGACACCGGAGTTCGTGATGGAGTGGAATCATCCTTTTAAGGACCGACCGCCGCTGCGTCCTGATCACAAAGGACGGAGACACAGCAGCTTGGCTCCATGGTGAGATGTTAGCGAGCTCCTCTGTCCCTCAAAGTTCCCCTTTCAGTCCCTCAAGCCTCTTTCAGTCCCATCGTCCTTGTCTTCTCAGAGACACCAGAAGTGGACACAGGCTGACGCATAAGAGTGTGTTTGAAAAGAGGACTGTTTGATCTTCTATACAGGACCGATTTAGTTTCATTGGACTGGTTAACTGCTCTGCGATTTTAAATTAAATAAAAGGACCTAATCAGAGCTCTGTGGGAGAAGAAAAAAGCAGATAGGAGGCAAAATCTGGAGGCTGACGCGAACAATGAATCCATTTCTACACCAAAGGACCCCTTTTGACTGCGGAATGAATGATTATCTTTAAAACACAGCTGGAAGGGGGAACTCTGGTTTCAAAGAGCTGCAACGTTTTGCTAAAAAAGTCGAAAAAAAACTTGGTTCCATCTATAAAATGTAATTTCCTGCCTTTTCTTTTTCTTTGTCATACACGACAATAAAATGGGTCTAAACTAGGATGAGACATTTGAATAAAAACTAATTACCAGTTGCAGCCAGACTTTATTAAAGGATGAGCTCATTTACATTTACAACAAAAACAGACGTTTCTCATTCACAGTTGTGGTTTCATTTGGTCTTTTTGGTTGATTAAAAATGCATGCTGGGATATTTGTTTACCTCGAGTTCACACAGAAGTCGGCCGCAGGATGAATACACACACAATCGTCACTCGTTGATATTTCAAAACCTGAGCAAATAAACAATCAGTGAGAAAGAAAGTGGTTGAACCGACTCTCTAAAATGCTTTTTTGCCATCATTTATGAGCCATAACTAAACCTCACCGATGCACGTAGCTGAAACTGGACCATTTTAGAGTCGAGACCTGTTGACATTTATATAACCCCCCATGTATAAGGAACAACATGACAGCTGTCTGCACATTCAGAGGTATTTCCTTCCAACAGCTTAAAATCCACTTTCTTTCTTTTACAATGTGACTTTTATCACGTTAACAGCCGACGGATCAAACTGTGGACCTTTTTTTTCTCCTGCAAACGAAACGATGCCCCAGAAGTCACACCAAAGAAAAGAAGAGCAGGTGATGAAATGGTAAAAAACAAACAAAAGGAATCAATTCTATGGAAAACCTGAGTTTCTGAAAAGAAAATCCTACGAAATAATAAAAATTCAAAGGTTGACATTATCTTTGCTGAATCTTATTGCAGTTCATGGTCCTGCAGCGTTGTGTGAGTAGTTATGGATGAAAAATGCTGCAAAGAAATTCACTTTAAATAGCTAAAAAAAACTAAATGACTGAAAAAAGGCACAAGCATGTTGGAAAAGCAACTTGTCACAGCACGAGTTTCATAAAAAAATAACACAATCTTTACAGAAAGGACAAGAGTAACTGGAGCCGCACGGGTCTTAAGAAATTCATATTTGAAAAAAAAAAGACTATATAAAAATATCAGCAGATGTAGACAACGTCATGGTTTCGCATCAACGTTTCGAAGCCACAATGTCAAAGCAAAATAAAAAATCCCACTTTTGTAAGAATTAAATAGAAGCCAAATAAGAGCTCAGAAGGGGGTTGGGGGGGGGGGGGGGCAGCGGAAATCAAGGCCAGAGGAAAAAAAGTGGTCACAATCCACGAGCTGAAAGTCACTGTAAAGAGATCCAGGAATGCTCGGCCCTCCCTTGGTAACCACTGTCACAGTGCCATCCAGCAAGGCACTTTTACAGCAGGCGATTGTTCCAGTGGAGCTGCATCAGTTACATGGAGACACGCGTCAAGTAGGTGAATGAACGAGAAAGAAAAGCGTTCCCTGGGCGATGTTTTGTGTCTTTTTTTTTTTTTTGTGTCTAACAAGGTTTCCTGTGTCCTCTCTCGGAACGCGACGAAGGCCGATATTTAACAACTTTTTAAATAACATTAAACGTTATGGCTATGCTGAAAATATACATTCTGACACTTAGAGATAGTTTGTTAAAAATACAAATGTGCAAAAGTTGTAAACAAATGGGATCGTCTATGTGTGTGTGGGGGAGGGGGAGTGGGGGGGGGGGGGGGTCACAACCTTGTGGGGCTCTCATCACTGTCACTGCAGTTACCACAGCAGTCCTGCAGAGGGAAGCACAGAGCAGAAGGTCACCTTGAGACCAAAGCAAACCACACTTTTTAGTGGGGGGGTGGGGGGGGCTTAAGGGTCTCCGATGAGGGAGGGGGTCCACTGACCTGCCGGCCGAAAAGCCGCTGCAGGAGTCCCTGTTTGGGCGGCGGGGACGGCTGTCCCCTCCAGTCCAGGTCGGGGGGGACGGTGCCGTCCTGGTGGAAAACATTCAGCTCTGTGAAACACTCAGTCTCGATCATCTGCAGACAAAAAAAACACTCTTTTAGATTGATTTTATTTTTTTACCTAAATTGTAAAGCTTCACCTGTTTAGATATCAAATCTTTTCAAAATCTTTTTAAATCTTATATTGCAACATTGTAAATATGCAATTTTACAAATAACAGACGAATAAGGGAAAGATGAAGTGCATCTAAATCGTGTGTGTGAACGCATGACGTGTCCCCGCGAATGTGTTTGTCTCTCGCCTCGTCCTGCCAGGGAATGGAGACGCAGCCCGTGGACACTTTGCTGTAGAACGACTCGTCTTTGGGCTCCAGCTCCACTCCTTTCACGGTGGAGAACTGCTCGATGTCCAGCACGTCTTTGCAGTAGATGGCCTGCGGCTGTGAACACACGAAACCGCTCACCTCAACACACTGTCGACCTCCGAGGAGGACGAGAAGACGACAACCCCCGTCGACGTCCTCGAGGTGGACGCTTTAAACCCCTCAGTCCTTACGTAACATAAAACCTGCAGCGCTCCCTCTGTGGGAAACCGCCCTGTTGCAGACGGCGTGCAGGGTAATTATGCGCGCTCTATTTAACACGCCTCCGAGATATTATTACTAATCACATCCACTAATTACACCACCTGTGCTGTAAATTGTGCATTTTATTGTGCATCTCTGAACTTTCCACTTTTTGAAGAGTGTTTGCTTTGTCGCTGGAGGTTTCGATTGAAGTTATTTCCCTCTCACCAAACCACGAATGTCATTAGTCAGCATTAATTAGCTGCACTTTTGCTCTCGTTCATTTTTCTAACTACACCTGCACTCTCATTAATGAGTTATTAACTACACCAGTCTGAGGTGATGACGGCATGTCGGGCACTCACGTCGGGGGTGAAGGGCGCCTGCAGCATTCCCGCCACCAGGCGTTTGAAGTTGATGGAGCAGAAGATGGTGTGGGCTTTGACCTCAGACGCTCCGCCCCCCTGGCAGCCCGTCCTCTCCGCGGGATCTTTGGCCAGGAGCTGCAGCGTGGAAACGAAGACGGTTACAAACAACGGGGGAAGGGGACCAGAAACCCGGAGGGGGGGAAAGGTTCAGAACCAAGTGGTCGGTGGTTTAACGTCTGTGGAGAAATCTTAGCAGGTTGAGAAGAGAAGTCCTCCGACGTTCCACTTGAGGAGAGAGCTCAGCGTGCCTTCATGCACATCATCTGGCTGAGGCCACGGATCCTCACCCAGGACATGGACTAACTAGCCAGAGCGTCTCTTCTCCGGAAGAGTGAGGTAATCAACGAGAATATAGTAAAATCAGGAGCTCGCGCAGATGGCGACAAGCGGATTTGGCCCGCTCCAACGCCCACCCACCATTCTACAGAGGGACTTGGCGTCCTCGGAGAACTTGCTGGAATATTCCTCCTCCACCTCCCTCACGAGCCGCTCCACCTCCTCCCTCTTGATCTTCTTCTTCCTCTGCTGGAAGGGGGACTGGCCCTCGATCATCTCGTACAGCAGGCAGCCCAACGCCCACCAGTCGGGGCTGAAGGTGTAGCGCTCGTTCTTCACCACCTCCGGAGCTGGAGGAGGGAGGGAAGGGGGGAGGAGGGGGAGGTACAGCAGACGGAGCGTCAGCGTCTCTTGGAGACGAAGTTGTTAAAACCTTTTCGGAGGTCACTCACCCATGTATCCCACCGTCCCCACCCGTCCCTTGATGGTCTGTCCCTCTGGGACGTGAACCGCTAATCCAAGGTCCGATATCCGGATGTGGCCTGAGGACACACAAAGACACGCACGCTAACATCGAGAAGATGTAGGAAAAGCCGCAGTTCTGTTCGGATTAATACTGATCTGAGGAACCTTTTGACCTTTATGCTTCCTGGTGGCAGCAGCTTCGTCCTCATTGTTTCAGTAAAAAGTATTGCGTGATTTATTGTGTGCTTAGACTCCCAAAAACAAACTTAGGAAATTGTCTGGAATCTGTCCAAACCAAACTCACAATCATTAGTCGTGCATCTTTTTGGGGAGATTCGTAATGAATGTCATACTTTTTATACTTTTAATACAAACTGTGACTAAACTCTTCACAGACACTTGTGCTGGAGTGAGAGCGCCATCTGGTGATTCTTAGTTGAAAAGTCATACAAACACCTGACTTATTTAGAGGACAATTCCGTACAGAAACAGCTTTACGGGATTAATAACACTGCATAATACGGATACGGATAAGATGTAGAACTATGATGAGAAAGGGAAGGAACTTTACGCCATAAGTGCACGCAGGGTCCAACATAACATTTCAGCGATTCCCTGAATTAATTAAGTGCCAAATGCAAATGTAAAAAGATACATTTAAGCCCACTGCAATACATTGGAATTTAAAATGAATTTATTATTGGAAGCAGCCGCTGACAAAACGATCTCAACTCAACTTCACTTACGTTCTTGTTTCAGAACTTTCAACGGCCTCTCAAGGATCTTAAATCCTCTGAACCATTGAGCAAACGTCCTCCGATGACGAAGGCCATGTGATACTTTGCAAAGCTCCAGAACCAAATAGGGACTTTTTTTTTTTCCTACTTCCAGATCCAACGGTCAAATTGTGACCATTGGCCCTTTCTGATTCATTCTCCTCGTAGCGCTGCTGCTCACCGTGGTCGTCCAGCAGGATGTTCTCCGGTTTCAGGTCTCTGGGGGACGGAGCAGGAGAGAGCAGAGTGAGAACAAACACCGGCTGAGAGGACGGGGGGGGGCGGGGGGGACGGAGGCCGCTGACCTGTAGACGATGCGCTCCCGGTGCAGGTCCTCCAGCCCGCAGCAGATCTCCGCCGAGTAGAAGATGGCTCTCTTCTCGTCGAACCCCGCGTCGCCCATGTGGTAGATGTGAAACTTGAGGTCTCCTCCGTTCATGAGGGTCAACACGAGGCAGAGAGCGTCCTTGGTCTCGTAGGCGTACGCTAAGCTCACCTGGAGACAGAAGGACGCTGCTAAAGTACGACCACGGCTAAAGTGGTGGCATCAAACTCTACGAACAACATTAAACGTTGTCTAGATCTGTCGGACAGAAGAAGACATCTACAGACAGCATATAGTGTTGTGAGAGCGAATTTTCAAGTTTAATTGGAGTATACTTAAACTTGATTCATTCTTTTTTGTACACAGGTTTGAATTAAAGTAAAAATCATCGTTAAATCAAGTGTAAAATCCCTCATTGAGCAGCAGAATTGCTTGTTTACGCGTGCAGAGTGACATTCAGGAAGCTGACGACGCCGTGGGTCGCACGTCCCCACGAACACAACCTGCAGGCCAACTCCTCTAATGAAGTGTGTGTTTTTACATTGAGCCCTTGCTGAACCCTGAGGGACTCCTCTGGAGTCCAAATCAAACCCAGCAAGAACAAACCTCCGTGTTGTCTTTTAATTACTGCAGCTGTTGCGGACGTCAATGACCCGTTGATGTTTAAAGGACAAGCCGGGAGGCATATTTCCCTTTAGTCTGTAATCTGCATGAAAACAGCCAACGAGGAGACGAGATGCTTACTACAAATCTGCTGTTGACTTTCTCCAGGATCTGTTTCTCGTTGAGCGCCATGGACTCTCCTTTCCTCTTCTTTATCCTCTTCTTCTCCAGCTTTTTACAGGCGTACATCTTTCCCGTGGCCCTCACCTGACACGCACACACCTGAAGGGAAAAGGTTGAAGGAAATTAAAAAAGAAGCTCATCGACGGAGGGCTGTCTTTATGAATTTGTGTTTTTGTCCCCGGGGCTTTTATACGCCACCAAAATGTTGGAGTGTTTGAAACCCGATTGCGGTGTTTTTACAACTGTCCCCATTGCGTTAAATATTACTCCTCAGATCGGAGATGTTGTCGTCATCGATGCAGCCAAACGTTCAGCTACATGTTTAATCATGAGAAAGACGTTTAGTTATATATTATATTTTTCATTTTGATTTCTCCGTCCAGCGTGAGGTGCTATAAACCCGGACTCAGACGTAGAACAACACCCGACTGTCCTCGGCCTTAAAGCTCAGGATCGCGTCTCTAAACGGCCATAACGAGTTAAATCATTTCAACTGGTTAGTGACTGGAGGGGGGAGCCCGCGCCATTAACTCAGGATGAAATGCTCATCTGTGCTGCTTGACATAAGAGAGCGTCTGTTCACGGAGTCAGTACAGGGAGGAATTATACGCACGAGTAATCCCTTCAAACAATTTGGACTTTTGCAACTGGTCAATTCTCTAACGATCTCCAAAGGACTTTATAAATTTAGGCTTTCTTGTGAAATTTGTTCCCCAACCGCAGAATAGTCCGTACCGGCGTCGTTATGGTGACGGATCCCATTGTGCCGGTTAGTCGCGGCCGTGTGGCGGTTGGCCCCGCCCATTCCCATTTATTTAATGATGTCATTCAACTTTCCAACCAGAGCATTTCTTCTGTGTGTCAGATTGATTCTTTAAAAATGGTCAGAAACACTGAATGCACCCACCTCGCCGAAGCCTCCTTTACCTAAAACTCTGTACTGTCGGAAGGTGTTTTTTGTCACCGGTTGCCTGTTGGGAGACAAAGAACAAACAAAATGAGAACTCGGACGGAAACACGTGTAAAGTCGAAATGAGCGTGCCGTTAACATTATCTTGCTTTCTTGGAAATTGATGAAATATATATATATATATATATACATACACACACACACACACACACACACACACAGGAAGGAAAAGTCCTGGGAGGGATCTTAAAAACAGTTTCTTAGTTCGCGCTCGCTGGAGGGATTTATGATGAGCACAAACGGGGCCTCTTTAATGATCCAAAGCCCCAATTAGCTGCTCCCTCTTGGAATCAGCAGCCCCGTCTTCCCCCCCCCCTCTGAGGACGGGCTGCTCATTCGGGCAGGTGAATCAGCCTCGTTAAAAGAGGATGAGGCATTTGCTGCTTGATGGTGTGTCTCTTGTCTTAAAACGTCGTATTTCCTGCGCCGGTGGCGCCGAAGAGCAAACGGCTGCCAACCAGCTGACGGCACGTGCCTCGTTCGTCGCTGACAACGCACGCGCGGACCGATCAAAAATCTCGAGATTAAATCAACCAAACAGTGTCGTTGGACCGGAAGCTGAGATAATGAAGAAAAAGGTCCCGTTTGCGTCCCGGCAGCGCATGTGAATGTGAGTCTTTCATCCCCCGCTTTCCCGCTGGCTTCCATCACGTGAGGCCCCGCGCGGCCCTCAGCGGGTCCCTCCTGCCCCTCACCATTACCCAGCAGCCATTACCCAGCCCCGTCCGATCCGGCCATTAGCGCGCGGGTGCACAAGTCCCTTCGGTGGGTCAGTCGATGCCTTAGTGGAGAGACCACGCTGCCTTAATGTGCTTTCGGGCCTGCAAAAAGCTTTCAGGAGTGTGCTGAAGAGTTGCTTCAGGTTGTTATTGCCGAAGGGTCTTCCGTCCTGTTCTTCATTTATCACGAGGGGACGTATGCACCTCTGGACGGAGCCTGTGGCTAGTCGGACTGGATGGACTGAAATATGAGGACTAAAACAGGCCTGACTTTTCATCCGATGTGAATCAGGATTCATTTACTTTCACTGTGTCCTTCATCAATGGTTTCTGAAACGCTTTCTTGCTCACGTCAAACGATTATTTGTATTGAAAACGATTTAACAGATGAATGGCAAAGACAGTGTTTGCACCCTCTTTGTTCCACTTCATGGTACAGGTGCTCCACAGGTGTGGCTGCGCTGTGGTCGGGGAGTCAACAGCTTCTGTTGTTGCCTAGCGACTGAGGATCAGCTGTTTGCGAAGCCCACAGCCAACTATACATTAAGAAAAGGGTGTTTCACTCGTTTGTTTTCTTTGGTTTAGTTGCAGCAACATAAGCAGCAATTACCGTCTCTTCTTCCTCTCGCAAACATGTGCCGCGATGAAACGTTTGAACTTTGAATGTTTTCACTGCCGTCAGATTGGCAACGTAATTCTCCTCCAAAAGGGAATTTAATGACGCTGTAGTTGCAGAGAACTGCTGTCCGGGAACAATCAGATCAACAAACTCTATTAAAACTCCTAATGGCCGTTATTGTGACGAGATTAGTTTATTTTCCCAACAACAGATGAACACGTTTTCTGTTCATGCATTGGAGGCAGTCCAACTTTTTGAAAGTGTCGTAGTGACGTTCACAGCATATTCAGTTCACCTCTTCTGACTCCACATTAAAAGACACTTTTGAGTGTGTTCGCTTCTTTTGCATTATCCTTTTTCTTCAGCACATTAACCCACAACCAGGCGACAAAGTTGTTCACGTGGGATCTATATTTCTTCATAGAGTAAATATAATGTAACTGTGCTTTTCTGTTGGATTTGTTTTCACAGTGCACATAATCCTGATCTTATCTTCTGTTTGCACGCTGGCTGGGACTCCTCGTCGTACTAAATAAACCAACACATATCAGCGTCTTCGCGCGGCGGAAACCAAACTGTGAAACTTTGCAGTCACTTGAACGTTGCACTGGATCCACCCCAGAAAGCGCTGAGGATATGAAGACACCGGGGAGAGGAAGGAATGAGGCAACTTGCTCAGCGTGTCTCTGGCTCTGCCAGAGGAGCTCAGGCCGAGCGAGCTGCTGAGGGCCGCGTGTGAAGTGATGGCATTCGCCGCGCTGGTGGCGCCCAATGGGCAGGAAAAGAAAAACAAACAAAAGACGAGAAAGAGAAACAGAATTTACCTCTCCAGCCATTTCCACTGGAGGAACCTGTTGTAGTACATGCTGTCGAGGTAGTCAGCGAAGGGCGCCACGCTCAGGTAGCCGTGGATCAATCTGGTTTTTAAAAAGAACACAGAAAAACAAACCGTCAGGTCATTTCTGTCCCACTTGATATCAACCTCCTCGAACTTTGGCTGAACTCTTTAGTTTAGATTTACTGGTAAAGTAACGATAAACTTAGACAGTTCACGCATCATAAAATAGGTCAGCTGATACACAATTTCAACCTTAAGGCACGTTTTTTTTTTATTTCAGTTTGGTGCAAAAGGCAAAAAGGTCAAAAGGTAAACGGGCACTATTAGAGAGCTGTGACGTGTAATAAAGAATAAACTGACAGGACGCGGAGTTGATGGTGTTAATATTGTGTACAGCACGGCCATTCACGCCGACGCATGAACAGAGCTTTAAGAGGATGTTACACAATGTCTGAGTGGTGCTGATGGAAACAACAATTAACTGGAAAACAGGCTAAATAAGTGTTTTCCTTCCGTTTAATCCACCTGGTATTTATTTGCTTACTATATTAGGATTTCTTATTACGTACTCTGCATAATGGCTGCACCGGGAACAATTTCATAATCTTTTCTTTTGGGGAGTGGATTGTTCTCTGCGCCACAGCAAAATGTTCCAACTTTGATTAACAGCCGACGCGCTCGGTGCTTCCCAACCGTCACCAACCCAACTTCCTCTTTTAGGAAACACTCGAGTTGCCAATCCGGAGTTACAAAAACAAGCCCCGATGTTACACGACGGAAGCGGCTCAGTCATGAGCTCCGTTTTCTCTCTTTTTTTTCGTGTCGCGTCTGCAGGCCCAGCGGTCCTCGTGCTCAACCCCAACTGCCTCCACCAATATCACGCAACCGCGTGCATCTATACCGGAAGGGTTACCGGGGTTACCGAGTGAAATGCATGCAGGGATACTTGTCCGTCTGCCCCCTAAAGCGTCCTGGTTATAACCTTTTTTTCAATCCTTGGGGAATTGCTTGGAAATGCTTTCTCTCTCTCTCTCTCTCTCACACACACACACACAGATGCAGGTGTTTTGAGTTAACTCAATTCTACATTTTATTTCATGCTTTTACAAGGTTCAATCTAGTAAAACTTGCTTTGGTTTTTCTGGAGTCATATTTTTCCAAATCTACATTGTACATCATCAGATGCGTCCAGTTCATCTGTGGTTCAATGTCTGATGTTAAACGGAGGCAAACCCCAACAATTGACAGACCCGGGTGGGACCCCTGTGATCTTACTTGGTGCAGTCTTTGAAGAGCTCTTTACAGGCCTCCTGCTGCAGCCTCTCGGCACACTGAGCCATCATCGCCTGCTCCACCTCGGGCACATAGTCCTCCACCTGCACCGCAAAAAAAAAAAAAACACACACACACACACCGAGTCCCTGTGAGCACCGTGAGTCAAGCTCTGGCAGGAGGCTCACAGGAGAAAGCCGGATGAACTGGGTTTGAGACGGAGCAGATCGGCCGTGCGAGAGGGATAACGATCAGAGTTCAGCGTGTTTCGACTTGCAGGCACAGAGACGCCGGCGCAGAACAAAGACGCTGGGAACTATGAAGACAAACAGGCGGAGACTTGCGGAAATTCTGGTTTGAAGCCGCGTGAGTCAGTATCAATTAAAAAGAGAATGCTGACTTTTTATCCCGTTACCCCCCCCCCGACAGTTAAAGTGTTCCCGGGGTGGTGCTGATGGGCCACCGTCCCCTCCATCCTGCAGGGAAACATGTGACAGAGCGCCACGAAAGCAGCAGCTACCTTTGGGTCAAAGTATTTGTTGACGAGCTCCTGCCCGCACTCCTTCCTCTTCTCGTCTGGCGCCACCTCGTACTCCGCCTGCAGGGGAACACATCGAGAGGGGGGTCAGACGCTACGAGGCGCCCTGTAATCCACCCTCAGGTACCCGGATGAATAACAAAAGGTGGAGCTGGGCAATATGGTTAAAATCCACTTTAACACATGAATCGACATTTCTTTGTCCAATAATAATGCATAAAGTAATATGGCAAAATGAATTAACAAATCAACTCATTTTTAATGATTGTGGGGCGGTGATAGCAATTCTGTGTTTCCACTGGAGACCTCTGAGGGCCTTCATTACTCCAGAACCTCATTTAATATCTAATTGAAGAGATTTGTGGGGGTCCACACCCTGCAGCGCACCAGCTGCCGGTGTCCTCTCCGCCCTCCGAATCCCTCGCAAGTAAACCGAGCCCCGACTGGAAAACTCCAAAGTGCTTCCTCTCCCCGTCTGACAGGCGAGCGTCTGTAAAGTGATGCTAAGTGACAGCGGAGACGTTTGAAATCTCATTTTCCCTCTCCGGCACGGTTCTCTGAGAAGAGACGGGAAGCGGTTGTGGGGTGAAAGAGGGCATAACGGCTCGGTGAGCGACGCCGCCACTCGCTTTTCCCCTTTCGGCGGGTCGATGGAGCACAAATGTTCCTCTGCGGGCCGATGAAAGGACCCGGCGACGGAAGACGTTTGTACGTCTGAGGGGATTCTATCTGCAGGGGGGACACAAAAATGCTACCAAAACCACCACTTAACCTTTATTTATTACTGCAGAAACAGTGTTTTAGGTTCCATGGGAGGCTTGAAGGAGACGAGAACACGGCCCCCAGAGGATGAAGCGTTTACATCACGAGATACAAAGTAACACAACCACGGTCCAGATTAATTCATGTGGTCGGCACTTTGTTGAGCTACTTTTGGTTCGTTCAAGTTACATGTATCCACATAGTTTCCATTCACAATCTTTATCTGGAAAAGCAACGAGGAACTTTGTACAGGCGGAAATAAATGGTGCATCATTCAGTCAACTGCACACTCACAACGACGCAAAGCAGCATCGACGGGCACAAACGCACTGTTGTGTGTTATCTTTCGCTCTGCTCACTACAGGAATGTTTTATTACAAAGAGAGGAGGGGGGGGGGGGGTCAAGGACTTGTTTTTCTTTCTCGCTCATTTCTTGCTAAGGAAGACAAGGAGAGGAGGTGAAAGGAGAGAAAACTACGTTTTCAAACGATTGCTGAATTGTTTTAAGTTTTAACTGGTTGTGAGTCAGTTGAGAAGGACAATACCGCTCAAAGGTTTGGGGTCACCCAGATCATTTTGTGTTTTCCGTGGAAACTCACACTTTTATTTATCAAAAAGATTGCAAAATGAATAGAAAATATAGTCAAGACCAGCACATCACCTCCACCGCGACTCTTCCAGCATCTTTTCACCTCTTCTGCGTCTCACAAATGTTGTTCTGTGTGACGTCTCAAACTTCCCTCTGTCCATGACACTTTTTTTAATCTTCCTCTGTCCAACGGCGGTGTACTTTGGCCCGTATCAACCTTTTCTCTGTGTGGGTCGGAGGTCGCCTCTTCACCGTGGACGTTGACGCCGGCGTTTTGCGGGCGAGTTGTGCACCGGGGACCGTCCCCTTCTCTCTCTCTCTACGCTGGTTGGAGCCCGGTTGTGCCGTTCTCTCCGGGGGGGGGTAGTTCACACCCGGGGAAATTTCTCGCATGAAATAGCCTTTGTTTCTAATAACGAGTTTCACATCATCAGAACTGTTTTCTGATCATCATCCATTAGTCTTCTAAGGCGATCAAGCAAACACAACGTGCGCCATTAGAACACTGGAGTGATAGTTGCTGGAAATGGGCCTCGATACACCTACGTATTTCATTTCTGATTAATTTAATGTTATGTTCATTGAAAAAAACAGTGCTTTTCTTTGAAAAATTTCCAAGTGTATATGAATGAATGAATCATTGAGTGACACGACTACTAGATACAACCATGGAGAGCAAATATGTCTTTCATTTGAATGAACCCCAACGTGGGCCGGTTCTCACGTGGGACCTGCAGGAAGTTTAATTATCCCGAAATGCGCCGCGGAGGAAGTCAAGTTTAATATTTGTTTTAATGGAAAACGTGAACTTTTGACGTCTGGAGAGAAAACTGCGTCAGTGTGTCGATGCCGTCTTCTACCCCCCATGTTTTAAATGCAACACACACACACACAGACACACACACACAGAGAGCTCTTACCACAGCGTCCAGGAACTTGACGCAGCGCCTCAGTTCGGGTTGAGTCTCGCAGAACTGTCGGAACAGCAAGCGTCCGATGGGCTGCCGCTCGCAGAGGCTGCTGTAGTCCTTTTCTACGCACAGCGGGAGAGATGCAATCCGCTTATTACAACACGCATTCAGCTGTATTCTATTCTTTACCTTCCTGTCTGGTTTATTTTACCCATCAATTCATAATCCTAAAGATAAAAGGGCTTAAAATGAGGAACGATATTATCTCATTACCCAGAATGCTTGTTGGTTCATTTGTTGCCGCTGTGACGTGTAAAAATGAACTCAACAATGGTTATACTTTTAGAAACCCGTCTGGTCACAGTGGATTGCAACACAATATGCGGTGAATGACGGTGACGCTTTTAATAGTCAAATACCAGCACATTTGCATGAACCTGCAGGAAGGAGCGGTGGAAAATGGGACCGTTTGAGAAAAAAATGAATTGCAGGAAAGACGAAAACAAAGTTTGGTGGACAATCTTAATTGTGAAAGGTTTGGACACTTTCTCAAGATGAAAGCAAAGACTTTTGACTCTGCACTGCATCTCGGGCTGTTTGTGTTCATCCGCCCAGTTCGAGACAAAGAAAACCCAACAAGGACATTTCAATTTGCATTTAGGACTCGTGTGGATGCAAAGCTACTTCTGATGCTCCTTTAACAAACAAATGTGACTCCGCGAGCGATCTGCAAGTCAAACCATTTCCATCCGTACAACCAGACATCCGGTCCGGACTCTCTGAAGGTAATGACCCGAAAAAGAAAGAAAAAACACGCGCAAAACTCTCCAACACAGCGGCAGACAAAACGTGCTAAAGTGGAGAAGACGTCCTGCACATTGAAACCTCTACAGACGGCAGCTGGTTCTCGCTTCCTTTGCTCTCGGCTACGCCGCCACGACGTCTTTGTTCTACTCTAATCATCCCCTCTCCGTCCTCTTTGCTCCGGCGTGCTTCCTACATCCTGGTGCAAAGTGACCGGGGAGCGATCGATGCAAAGTGAATGGGAGCCGAGAGCGGAAAAAAAAAAGAACAATGGAGAAAGCGCCTGAGCAGTGAAGTGCAAGAAAGACTGGGCTTAAATAATGATCATTTCTATCGGAGAGTGCATGGCGCCTGTTTAACCCACTCATCTCCTCTCAAAAACACCAGAAATTAGCTTCATCCCTGCAGCCCCCCAGCCGGCCCCACACCGACTACCCATGCGTAAGGTGGGACGTCCCTCTGTTCCGGGAAATGTTCCTTCGTGGTTGTGGATCACTGGACCTCCACAATCCCTGGAGGTGCGACTGTACATCATCACACAGAGAGCCTGCACAAGGGGGGCCCACTGTGGGGCCCCCGGGTCCCCTGATCCCCCACAGGGAATCCGGCGCTCAAAGCTACGCAGCACTTAAAACACAGCTTCAGAGGCACGAGCGCGGCTGCAGACTGAGGATGAACAAGCCGCCGCACGTCGCCATGGTTCTTGACACTTTTACAGCTGACGTCACCAAAAAGGTGTTTGTGCATGTTGGCAGCAGAAATGGAGATTTAGCCACGGCCGCCCTGAGGAGTTTTAGGTATTAATCCAACATAGAAAAGCATCAAAATGTCTGGTTGCAACATGTTAAGAGGTCAACAGCAGACTCGAGTTCCAGAGAATCCCGGGGGTGCAATTAAACCGTGTTAACTGGTGACTTTCCGCCGACTGATGCTCGTAGGACTTCCAGGAAGTCGCTGCCATGGCGGATCGACGCGGAGGATTAAACCGCTCCATCTTAGAAACTGGATCCTGAAAAACAAACTGAATAACAACATTTTCACCATGGATTACAAGCTCCTTTTATGCTCAGCTTTGACCAAATCAACTCTAAATCCAGTGTTTGCAGAGAGAGAAAACGGGCACATTGGTGCTCGGTTTCCTGCATGTGTCACTGAGAAAGCAGAACGTGCGCACTTAACGCGGCAGCCGCAAGAACCACACGGGTAGAGAGCGGCGGTGCAGGACAATAGAGACGTGTCATGTGACACCAAAACTTTCCCTTGCATTGCATGTCATTTAGCTGCCGCTTTTATCCGAAGCGGCAATAAGTGCATTTCACTTGGTCGGATGGCGGCAGCGGGGAGACCTGCCAGGAGAGAGCTGCAGTACCCCAGGTGGGAGACGACAGGAGCCTTGGCTGTTGGCTTCAACAATTGCAATTGCCTGTTCCCTTTTGACCAAAGCGCCCCTGCACACATGACTTCACGCCGATTTGGGAATCACAAATGTTGCATTTGTGCTCAATGAGCCGACGGCGCGGAAACAAGTGTCTCTTTATTGTGGACGAGGTGAAGAATATTGCGAGCAGAAGACTTTCTGGGAAGCGGTGCTGGACTTACTCAGTGACGCGGGTTTGCTTTTAAACGTGCAGGGACACACGGCATTAATCTTCCACAACACTGCATTTTTCTTTTAAGGCACAAAATCTACTTTGCCTGCGCGGTGATAACGCACAAGAAGACAATCAGAAGTGAGAATAGAGGAGACAATCTGTTTCTCACAAACAAGGAAGTGGACAGTTTCCTGAACGTCTTTCTGGAGACTGCCTCCCACTCATCTTTCTTCTGCTTTCACAAAAATCGCAGAGAAGAAAATTCTGCACTAGCGAATCGCTTCGTGTATCTAGTTTTGCACTAACAGCTCGGAGCCGAGTAGACCACAAGACACTGAAAACCACAAGCACCTAAAACCGCTCCAATATAAACACTTTACTTTTATTTTTTTTTACTTTTTTAATTCTTCTGATCAATTTTTTTTCTCACCATGTCTCTGTTGCAGCTGCGATCCTGTGATAATTTCCCCACTAAGGGGACAAATAGAGTATTATCTCTGATCATCGTCTTATTTCCATTTACGCGTCTCGCACCATCTCACCCTCACGTTTTACTTTCCCTTTCTTAACATCATTCTGTGTTTCATCTCCTCTGACTTGTGACATTTGCTGATCTTGCTGAGAGGAGATTCAGATTAAAGCTCATTTCCATTCCACTCTTCGGGAAAGTAGCAGCTCTGTTTCCTGGAGGAATAAAAAAAAGTATCTGATGTCGATCGAGTGACCAAAGAATCCCAGAAGTTAAATAGAAACCGAACCGAGATATAAACGTCTCTTTTCTGTGGCGGAATGAAACGTCGGTTCAACGCACGACGTGCAGGTTTAGTTCCTGTGTAATATTTGAATACATGTTGAAAAAGGCACCAGCAGATGGACACGGACACAAAGTCCACAAATCCTGTCTGCAAAGTAGACGTATCTGCATTTGAACAGCGTCATCAGATTAAGCGTGTTCATGTGGCATTAGCGAGTCCTCGTTTCAGTGATAATAACATTACCAGTCGTAACAAGGTTACAAGGCGAACACAAGGTTGTAACGTAGGTTGAAGCCCCTTCTCGCTACACAAAACAACATACAGGACGTATACAAATATTCTTATACTAGATATGATCAAATTAAATAACGTATAATGTGTATAACTATCCTTATATTTATGCCCAGAGAGTCCTCTGGCACAGCCTGAGTGATGCTGAACACATGTGGAAGCAGTCTGGAGGCTCAGACCTCATAAACCTTTAGCCTGGGCCCCCTGGGGGGCCCAAGGGTCCGGGGACAGATCCGGTCTGGGAGACAATTTTAGAAAGCTACTCACATGATTACATGTTTATGATCATTTTAAGTTCTCACGATGCCGCAAGATTTGAGTAAAATGTATTTTTACGATAACCACAGTGCATAAATTGGCCTTTTCAGAGGGTTATGTGACAATAGAGTTTTACTAAATACGTATTCCTGCCGTCAAATGTTCAGGAGCACTGCCAAATAATGCTAAGAACCCGTCCTGTGACGGGTGTCAAGCCGAAAAGTACCCAGAAACTATGAATGTCATAAATGTCTTGAGGCCGATCTTATGCACAGTGGTGCTTTTAGACTGCGCGGCCACTGCCATGCTGACAGACTCACAATGACAACATGCTGATATTTCTTTAAAGCCAAAGCAAAGATATGCTTAAAGGAAGCTCTGCAGTTGGACGAATGAGGTATTGAGGTATATTATAAATATTCTGAGGAGCAAGAACACCAAAACCCAAAAACTATGACTACGTCGATGCCTTTCCTCTTTTGTTTCCGGAGGCAGTGTGTGTGTGTGCGCGCGTGTGTGTGTGTGTGTGTTATCATAAGCTGCCATCCGTTGGTCCTTACGGCTTCTTCTAAAAGGAACGTCTGCCCAGCCATGTGGCCTGTGGCCGGATGCATCCAATAGCAATTCATCTGACCCATCTTATGTTTTCAGGTTATTTCTAGGAATGATTTCCTAGAAACCTAAAAAATGCAATGCAACGGTATTCATGGTCGACGGCAAACAAACTAAAACTGGAACAAAGGGTGTTGACAAAGTTCTCAAAGTTAACCTCGGTGCTGGTCCCGGCGCTCCGGGCCAGAGGAGGAACCTTGTTGCTTTAGTTCTTGGTACTTGTGTTGTCTCTAGAAATAAAACTAAACAAAGAGTCGTTTGATGCGTCTCTCAGGACATCCAGACCCTCGCTTCAATCACATGTATCGGCGTCCACTTTTGTTTTGGCGACCCGCCATCTTGACCAACAGCGTTGTTTGCTGACCACGATCGCAGACTTCACTGCGAAACAGTTTACGTGCCTCGTGCCTTCAGTCCTCCTTCCCCTCCCGGCTGGGTCAAAGGTCGTACCAGAGAACGAGAGTAGAGCGACTACGTCACGAGTCCATTTCATTCTCACGCGTTGTTTTGGGGTTCCCCGTTTTATTTTGACCTCTCATTCCAGATAACGTAACTTTTTGTCAGAGCCAGTTAGTATCAGTTCCTCCGTAGCTTTCCAGCATTGTTTCCTTAATAAATTAAACTATAGTAAAGCTAAATGATTACCAAAACAGCTGCATTTTAATCTACAATTTAACGTAGCGTAGCGGGCTGAGGGGCGGGATCAGTAGACCAGAAGGCTCCGCCCACGTTTGAATCAAGTCTGGGAAGAGAAACAGCTGATCTCGTCACTCGTCCCTGTCGAGCAGGGAAGCTGATCAGAGAGACGAGCTGACTCAATATTTTTTGGTCTCTGCAAAATATTAAGTTACGGATAAAAAACAAGCAGTTGCACTGAAATCAATGTTAATAGAAACCTTTGTGGCGCTCAAGCCAAACAAACGTTGCAGTATTGACACACACACAGCGCTCAAGAAAAATCCAATAATTGAAATCACAAACCCCGGTAGCCTTTTACCCGTTTTTCTCATCCGGCCCCTGCACTTTCCCTCCCTTCCTCTTGCGCCTGTATATATATATATATTTATCGGAGTTCTTCTGCCTGGCCTGGTATCAGTTACTCTGGGCTCTAACCTGCCGCCTGGTCAAACTAAAGCACGCCGCGTGAGACGGCGTGAGCGCCAGTCCGCTTCCTCTCTCTGCGCAGGCCGCAGTTTCCTCTGTGGTGCCACTCGAGCGAGACGCTTTTTCTTCTCTCGCTTTCCTGCAGGCTGCATGCGTTCACAGATCTCACGCGTTTGCCTTTTCCTGACAACATCTTTAGGCAAAAACACGATCCTCACGATTACGAAAGAAACCGTCCGTCTTGATAAGTTGATGACCAAAGAACCCAAATGAATGAAAGTAAAACTGCGGGCAACTGGCTTCAGGATGTATTGATACATTGATGGATACATTTAGACGAAAAGGTGCAGCGTGTAACACGTAGCAGTCGAAAGATGAACTTGACATTATCGGTTTCATCCCTCTGCCCCGAAGACAAGAAGCACAGGTCGTCAGTCGCGTCAAAGCCTCGCTTATTGGAAACAAGCTGCGTCTGTAACCGTAAACTGGGATTCTAAGAGGAGCCATTAGTGGACGTCTCCTGGCTGCCTGGAGCCAGATCTTACACGTCGCACCATTAAGATGCCGGAGTGCCCGCTGCACTTCCTGCAACCGCAACGTCCGCGGTCATATTCCTAAAAAAAAACGCCCGTAAGAGCAAGAAACACAAGTGACCTTCGCCGCCAGCAGGGCTGCAACTATCACACATGATCTATATTTGATACATAGTTTGGGAGAAGGGGCAACAGGCCAGCTAGCAGTTAGCAGCTAGCAGCTAGGCGCCACCTGAATGAGGTAGAATCTGCACATCGGCCGTTGGGTTTCATCACAACCACAAAAGCTAGTAAGTGGTCATTGATTGGTCCAATTACGAATGGTTTGATTTGTTTTTGGCCTTCCCTGTTTTATAGTCTGTCTAAAGAGATCATTTGACATTTTGGTAAATACATTGTTTTGTTTTGAGGTGAACGAGAGGATCGATACCACTTCGATGTCTGATAATGAGGCTGGAGCCAGTCGAGTGTAAAAGAGCGCTCCATCCATTCCTCCCCTTTTTATAAGGTCTGCTGCTGAGCAAATGGATATCTGGCATCCGGATGAATGGATCTCTATTTTTATAAAGTATAATCAGGCCAACATTGCTACAGTGAGGAAATAAAATCAACATCAATCATATAAACTCAGTGCAACGCGATACGTGAAGAAATACTGAAATATTAACGTGTGGTAGATCAAAAAAACAGAAAGCAGTATGACAAATCTGGGTGAAATAATAATAATAAGCGTAAGATGAGCTCCACATAGAGCCTTCAGAGTGAATCAGAGTAATAATAATAAATAAATCATACATTTAAATCCCCGCCTGGTGGCTTTGAGGTGATTCCCCCGATACGAAGAACAAGAAATCATAATCATGTCGTCATCCTGTAGCAATGTACGGCTGAGATTTAGTTAATCAATCTGACCCTGCCCTCTACGTGACGTGGCACCGCGCTGGCCGGCACTCACGTGAACAAGTTAAAAAAAGAAAGAGACAATTAAAAGATGAAATTGCAGAATGAAACAGTGGAAAGCGGGAATGCTACAGCGGGTTTGAGAGGGGCCGTCCACTTTGAAATGTGGAGGTCTGCTTCTCCCCCACTTGAGGTCTGGTTAACTGATGGGGCTGTTGAGAGGTACGTGGTAACCATGGATACAAGCGGTGTGGTTCTGTGTCCCAAGGAGGCCGCAGAGAGAAGGACCACAGGTCTTACCTGTGGTCTGTCGCAGCTCTTCACACAGGCTGATGTGGGGGAACTGCAGCAGCTGCTTCCACTTCTTGCTTTTTCCTTTTCTGTTCCCGCCGCCTCCTGTAAAAGCAAACGTGTTAATGAAAGGACAACGAGGGCAGCGGCCGATTAACGCGTGGGCATTTTGAGAGCGCTGAAGTCCAAACTCGACGGGAGGCTTTGGAGCCACCACGTCTTTGGGAATCCACCCCCCCCCCCCGGAAAAAGGTCAACGCAACGTCCTCGCGCAGGTACGCTCGCACGCGTCTTTTGTGTTAGGCTGTTTCTTTAGAAAACCGCAGCGCAGATAACACCAGCGGGCCGACGTCACTCGTGCAATCACAACAAAGCGGAGAGAAAAGCCCCAGAGGAAGTTCCTGTCGCCGTCGCCGCTCTCCGGTTGCTTGCAAAGGCTTTCGCTCACAATCGCTCGCAAACGTTCTCAGGTTGCATTTCTCTAACATGAGGATCGGCTCCTTCCTTTCTTTTTATTTTTTATATCGGAGTTTTGGCCAGTTCCTGTAAACATTTGAATTCACTGGCTTTAATTTGTGTGACACACACTCAGGCAAAAGCAAGATGTCGGACATTTTGAATTCATCTTTTAGGAGGGAAAAAAGAATGATGAATTCTAACAAATAACAAACTCATTAATTATTGTATCACGAGTCCTTTAACACTACTTTAAATCAACCAAATGTTTGGTCCTTTAGCAAATCGTTGGTTAAATGCCTTTAACGTGAATAGCACTCGGTGTGAGTGGGCTTAGAGTGGCGTTTTATATTGAGAAGTACGCCGATTAAAGAGTTCGACTGCGCTCAATGCTCGTCTCCATCGCCACGGTTACTCGACAAACTCTTGACTGGTCATTTGTTTTCCGATCGGAGATGCGGGGGGCCGGTCTTCTCTCCACAGCGCCCGCCCCCCCGTGTTTTCATCATCCGCCGTCGTCGCCGAGGCTCCTTCGAACCTCCACAATCCAAGATGGCGCCCGCGACGGCGGACGCACAGTCCCCCGGGGATGCGCTGGCGACGGAGGGACGTCACTTCGGGATTTGCCATTCAAATGCGAGGCGGCTGCGCCTCAGAACGTGAATCGCGATGGCTCCGATGCAAAGCGAGAGGCCTTGTTTGTGCCCGGCAAACACATGATAAGATCAGCCAGCGAGCTGATTGATAGCGATGCCCCGTTGCGTGCGTTGGACGGAAATGTAAATCGAGACAACCTGTCATGAGACAGGCGGGCGCCCGAAAAAAAAAAAAAGAGACTCTCCACCAAGTGATGAACTACTGCTTGATTAGAGTGAAATCAGCTCCGAGTCGTGGAGGAGGAGGCGCTGCCACACCGGCACGGCGGGTCTGAAGGGCACCGGAGCAAAATGATACGGGATCTGACAGGTGAAATAAACTGGTTAAAACATTTGTTTTCAAAGATATTCAGTGTTTGCAACGTGGGGATTTCACACTGCCCAGAACCGTCACATCGACTGATCCTGCTCAGATTTGGCTGAGACGTTCAGAGGCGAAAAGCAAACAAACCCGTGAGGTTGCTGGTAGAACTTTGCTTGTGGTGTAATCTGCTGACATCTTTTACTGCAGACTTAACCTCTTAGCATCAGGGACACAAGTGGTCTTTCCCTGTGTAAACGTCCCCTCATCTATCACATGTCCCCATTCTCCGTCTCCAGGAAGAAAATGAAATGAAAAAGATAAAATTTTATCTATGAAAAGATCTTCTTTCCTGAAACACAAGACAATGCATCAGCTGGTTGTTGAACGTTGAAGCGTGAAAACTGATGATGGATTCATCGACGTTTTCAATGATTCGTTGATTAACCGTTACGTTATGAACAATTGCCTCTGAAAAGTGACGCTGGTACGTCTTCAGATGAGACCAGCAGAACTCCAAGAATACAAGTCACACCAGTAAAGGGGCTGAAACTAAATGTGACAAACACCGAACCCTAACCCTCAGTAAAAGGAAAAAGGTGTTGCATCCTATTTATCATCATTACTAATAAATGACATCATTCCTCTTGAGAATTAAAGGATGCATTCATGAACAGTTGAATTCAGTGTCATACACTCAAGGAGTGGCGGGTTGTGCCGGCGTCGCAGCAAATACCCAGCACCAGATTAGGAGACACTCATACATCTGATCAGAAACCAGGATCACAGCAATCCGCCTCGGACCACAAAGGGGTCAGCGGCCCCACAGACACAGAATCAGTCGATGAGGAGAGATCGACCTCCATTTGACGGCCGCCTCGCTGCGTCCCACGTGATTGAAACCAACGGGGGGAAAAAAGAAACACGTCAGGAGAAAATGACCGACTAATAGATTTCCCGCTGGGTATTTATAGGTCCATGCCGAGCAATTTCTTTTAGGGGGGCCTGTCATGACGTCTGCCATGATCAGGAGACGGGGGGGTGGGGGGGGGGGGGCCCTGAGAGAGGGACAGCTGTCGCACAGATGCTACGCTCTGATTGGCCAGTCAGCATGGGCCCCATCTCGATTTCGGCAGCCGGGCGGCGGAGAGGAGGTAAACCAAAAGGTTTCTCTGTCGGCTGTGAGATGATGACTGAAACGAAGAGGATGGATTCTACATGAGGACACCTGTTGCCTCCTCAGGTCCTTCATTCACATCGGTGTGGAACGCTGGCGTCACAATGCAGTCTTTTTTTTGGGGGGGGGGGGCATTTTAAGTCCTGTTTTCTCACTTCCTGCCATTTTAAACCATGAATGGGAAGACGGCTGGCGCTTAGAAAGGAAAACTCCGCCCTAAAACCTCAACAGCAAAAAACTGCTTTGTTCAAATTCTATAGGTCCTTTGTGGATGAAGGAGTGTTTCAGCTTTTTAGTGAAGCGTTTTCACCAGGGGAGATATTACCCTCAAAATAAAACACCAGCATACGTGCAAGAACTTTGCCAATAAAACGAAGCCGGAGACTTCTATAAAAATGAAACGAGAAGGAGAACAAGAATTTGAAATGGGCTTTCTATCTATTACAATTGAATTTGTTCTACATTACGTCACATTCCAGGTTCATTAGTCTTAAGTATGTTTCTTGTTCTGTGTCTGCCATCTTGGCCAGGACCTCGTGAATGAGTCTCAACGGGATCATCGTCCCGGATGAATAAAGGTGAACTGACCCGAGTATTTTCTACTTTCCACTTTACCACAGTGCATAATGACAACGTCGACGTAAATTGCAGTTTATCCTGCTATTTCAATGATGTGATTATATATTAAAACAAGGTCTAGTCAGGACAAGTCACACTTTTTGTTCTTTTATGTACAAAGATCATCTTGTCTATGCTTCTGGTAAGTAAGAGGCGGTGCCTTGCTCATGGGCACTTTGGCCGGGGCAGATGGGTGCCAGCACAGAGGCGTGACCCCTGGGTCAAAAACGACAGGCCAACAGCCTCATCTTCTCATGCCCCCCCTGCGGCTGGCTCAATCTCTGTTTCCGGTCCCCAAAACACTGCAAACCGCCCATGCGTTTGCCCAGAGTGCAAAACCGCTGTGCAGCACATCTGCTTCGCCTCGACATCCTGTTTCGCAAAAGCGAGATGACGACGCTGCAACTTGAGCGAGGGAAACCCGGCGCGTCGCTGCCGTGTCGCTCGCTGCAGACCGCTCGACCCCCCCCCGCCCCCTTCCGGACCTCTCGCACCGCACGGACACGATCCGAGCCTCGCCAAACTCCATTCAAAAATCAGGCAATTTAACGCGCCAGGTGATTATTGCATTCGCCACACGGGGTTCAACGGCGTGCATGAATTAAAAATCAATATTTCATTACGTGTCGCTGGCTTTTGCACCCGGGCCGTTTGCCCTGGCCGAGCCCCGAGGGGTGTCGCGCGTAACGCAGCGACGTTATCGGGCAGTTTATGAAGAGTCGACCGTCACAAGAACAACACGTTGCATCCCAATCAAGTCCTCCACGCGACCATTCGCATCCCGAAGTGGATATCAGTTGCTAAAGAGTTAGCCGGAGTCTTTAGAAAGGAAAAAGCTCGTAGGCGCGCGCGCGGAAACGCCGGAGAACTTTAAATCGCTAAAACGGAACATGGAGTTCGGCGTATTAGGGGGGCGACATCCTGTTCGCGTTGAGCCGCATCATCAAAACTTCACCGGCTTCGAGGAAGTGCGGCAACAGTCTATTAAAACACATTTGTCATTTTTAAAACTCGGCCCTGCATCCGTACCTTCCCGTGCTTTCAGCAGCACCGTGTTGGCCACGATATTCTCCAGCTCCATGTCGATGCTCGCCCGGGGTCCGCGGGCTTCTTGACTGCGTTCGCTCCACCGGGGCAACGCTGATGCTGTCCGGGGTTACAACAGACGGAGCTCCTGGCCGCCCCACCACCACCACCACCACCCCCCTCCCTCCCCAGCCCACCCCCCACCGCGGGCGTCAACGTCAGTTTATCCTCCACAAATACCGTCCGGCCGCCCTCCTCCCGCCGCCCGGGCCAAGGAGGAAAAATGAGAACCCTCCGGTGGTGCCTTCGCGCAGCTCTGTGCGGCAGCGACCCGACGGTGCTCACCTCTTTCTCCGCCTCCCACCTCCCGTCTCCCCGCCCCGCGGCCGCTGTCACAGAGCAGGAAGGAAGACAGACGTCTCACTCCGTCCGAAGATTTCTGTTGGCTTTAAAAAACAACAACAACAACAAAAAGAAAACACCGCACAGACAACTTGCTTGCCCCTAAAGATGCATTTGGTTGCTTAATTGTGATCAGTTCAATAGTTCAACCAACAGTAGATTTTTTTTTTTTTTTTTACATTTTAAACACTATTGCTAAACCACTTATACATATTAATGATCACAATGCTCTTTGGTCCTTATTATTGAAGATGGTTCCACAGTTATGGGAAATAGGAGATGGACTTGTAGCTCTTGGGACTTGGGCTCATGCCAGTCTGCACTGATCAATGAAACCTCAGCGGTGCATTAAATGAAGACAGCAGCTAATTTCAGGTATGGATGGATGATTGCCTCTTCTGTGTCTGGCTTTCAAAGCCCTCTCGCTGGACCAAGGAGGAGGGCAGCTTGACCTGAGGTCTTCTACTTCAGAAGAAAAAAACAGAACATTAGAGGGAATGAGCCCATGCATGTAAACAGCACCTAACAGGACATCCTGACCTTAGCACTGTGAACCAATGTTATTACTAAATACTACTTGAATGAATGGACGATATTGAGCGACAATACAAAAGAGCTTTAAAAGATTGTTGCATGCACGGTAATGTGGAAACATTTAGTATGCCTGAGACCAATTGTGTATTAAGATGAAGAATCAAATTGAATCAGCCACATTCGACTCATATGAGCATCATGATAATCATGCAATAGGTCCGGAAAGTAACTTCCCCAGTTGTAAAATCGAATTGGGCGTTAATTTGGGAGTTTTTCGGTTTATAAATTAGCTTTATCTAATCAATTGTTCCTTTATAATTTGATATATCCCAACAGACAACAATTATGTTTCAGAGGTCAGAGCACAATTCGGATAATAACTGTGAATTCATTTTTTATTTATTTGTTGGGGTTATCACAAGTCAAATATAATTGTGTTTATTCTCAAGTAAACCTGCCATGTGTAATTCATGGGTATTTTTTAAAACTGGAAAGGACAGGATACAGAACATAACCAGATTTTGTTTTTGACTAATTTTCTAAAACATATGTTGATGAGGTTTTTGTGTTCATTTTATAGAAGTTGCTAAGAGAAGGTGTTTCGATGCATCACCAAGACTGACATCTGGAGGATAAAGCCAAGAGCTGCAAGTGTTTCAGACTTCTTTTCTTCTTGGAATTCTGAGGAATTTGCTTTTTGGAAACACTAATGAACCCCTTGCGTGTCCTTTGCGTGCCCTTTTCACACCTCCCTGCGCGCGTCGACCCATTTTTTCTAGGTGACGCACGCGACGCAAGCCATTGGTCCGCTAACTACGTCCTTTACGGAGTCTCACATTTCCGTTTTCATAGCACAATACCGCCATTATTAAAACGAAGAATGTTTTACGAGAGAACGGAGCAGATTGAAGAACTTTTGTCGGAAGAAATGCGTAAGTATGACCGCTTATACAAGCCGTCATTGGCGGACTATAAGGACGCGCGGATGGCCTCTGATTCATGGAGGGAGATCTCCGCAAACGGCGGTTTGCCGTTCGTGAGGTGTACAAAGTTGTGGAGGTGAATTCTTTAGATAAAATCCCCAAACCAAAACCCATTCATTCTCTATGGTTGTGCTAAACCACTACGGGTGTAATATATCTTTGGCCACCGGTGGCGCTGCTGTGCGGACCGAGCGTTTGCCCGGATGTAAAGCGTTTCTCCGGACATTCTCCGTCAGTCTACCCGGGAAAGAGCACCGAAGCGACGGTGCACCTTCGTTGGACCTCGCGCTACGAGGAAGTCACTACACAGTAAGTCAATGACATATAATGTGTAATAATTATTCAGATAAATATGCAGCATGTCTATAAATGTAATTTATGTTGGTGTCACGCCACATGTTAGTTTATAGTTGTGTTCACGTGTGTTTGACTGCATTAATTACTAGTTGCATATCACAGATGTTACTCAACTAATAAACGAGGATCTTGTAATAGATTAAACCACCAGAATTGTTTAAAGTCAGTCAAATGTAAACACATTAATGCCCAATGATTAGGATAATATATGATATATTTGGCATCACGACTAGTTTTAATCTTACTTTAAAAAAAGTTAATTTAACTTAAAGTTAATTTAAGTCCCTGAAGCCCATGTACTGGGGACTGGCACAGCGCTGCAGGCATAGAAAAGGCACAATAACAGTGGGTAGACAGGTAAATTATATCAATATTTTTGACCATCATTGGTGACACAAACAGCTCATAGTCACAACTTAGATTACTTTTCATTGTTTTCAGTTTCATTAAAGAAAAGCCCTTTGCATTCAATTTTATTTTGATGACCATATCCACCGGTGCACACATGGTGGTCTATATGACTGCTGTCACATTGATGGCTTTCCTTTTCTTTTTTCTTTCAGGGATTGCTGTGTTGCACTGAAGGTGGCAGAGTCGTCTGCAGGAGAACATCTGAAATGGGATTCTTGGAGAACAACAGATTGCCAATGTCACGTCTGGCAACCATCACATTTTAATGCAAACATTAATATCAAGCTGGACTTGTTTCACTGCATGAGGCGGTTCCTCCGTGAGTGTGTGTCGGTGGCATCCCGCCCAGTACAGTTCCTTTGCTCAGTTCCTCTGGACTGGGACAAGCACAACAGCAAGACAGATCACACCCAGGCCCCGAATCCACCTCCTCAAAGTGATCCACTCGCTACCCAGTCGGAGGTTCAAGGTTGTTCCATACATCTTGTCTCCATACATTTGTGTCACTTATCCATTTTTTTACAAGATGTGAAAATATATTTAGGGTGTTATTAAGTAAACATTCACATACAAATACCAGTCTTTCATGAGCTTTTAATGAAAGTTTATATTTATTATACAAGTATTTGATTCTATAGGTCAGAATGACTTATAATACTCTGTCTTTTGTTCCTGTAGAAACTCTACGTCCGCCGTCGCTGGCAGTTATCGACCTGCTGCTCAACAAACACCGTGAGCAGAAGGACATGCTGAAGCTTGTGGACCAGGACTACGCTGCTCTAGTTCACAACTCCTGCACAGACCCCAACAGCATGCTCCACCCGACAACAAAACTACATGTTCTACAATATGTAAAGCACCTCAGCAAATTGTTGAACACCAGTTCCTCTTTAAACGTCAGTCCAGAAAAACTGCAAGAGAGGCAGAAACTCTGTCACTCTCTGACAGAGGCGAGTGAGACTACTAGTGTGCAGGTTGTTACGATGTCTGTTGCATTTGTTCACCCACCTCCACCTGTTCAGATGCTGACACAAGCTTCTATTGAGAAGATTGTACCCAACATCATGGAAAAGCAGCAGCAACATAAACAGGAACAACAACAACAACCGGGGCAAAAGAAGGGCCGCACGAAAGACAAAGTTCTTTCAGCTAGAACTGGATGCCACACAGAAAAGTTCCATCTAGCATTTTAAGTCCAATTATTTGTAATATTCATGTTGTAATTAGTTTATATATTGGTTTCTTGCATTTGTGACTTTGTACATTGAAATATTATCATTTTATTCTTTATATTTGGTTTTAATATTCATTAGTTTAATTATTTAGATGTCTTTATTTCTGTAACATTTTTGTTTGTATAGGACTATACAAATCGGTTGATGTATCTGTGTTCAACATTTACTGTCCAAGTTAATACATATATTTCAATTACTAATGTCTACATGTGTCATCAATAAGTGAATCACTGTAGTGAACAGTAAAATAAGTTGGTCTGTAAGTACAATCTAGTGATAACCAGTAGACAGCAGATTGGGGTAAACATTTCCTTTATTTGTTATTTGAGATGGATAAGGTAGGATGGAGTGGGAGGTGAAGGAAGGTGTTCTTCCACGTGTCCCAGTCTCAGGCACAATATTTACTTAAATGTACATGAAATAAAAATAAGGCAGAAATGAGGTAAGGGGAAATGTGCAAAACTGAGCAGATTGTAAAAATGAAAAGATGAAATGAAATGTGTGCAATATAAATTAACAGTACAGTAAATTAAAGCCGACCAATTAAAAAAAAAAAAAAACATTTAAATAAATGTACATGAAATAAAAATAAGGCAGAAATGAGGTAAGGGGAAATGTGCAAAACTGAGCAGATTGTAAAAATGAAAAGATGAAATGAAATGTGTGCAATATAAATTAACAGTACAGTTAATTAAAGCCGACCAATTAAAAAAAAAAAAAAAACATATTTAAATAAATGTACATGAAATAAAAATAAGGCAGAAATGACTTAAGGGAAATGTGCAAAACTGAGAAGGTTGTAAAAAAATTAAATGAAATCTGTAATATAAATCAACAGTACAGTACAAGTGAAATCCTGACAAGCGAGTTAGGTTTTAAAGCAGCCAGAGTATCCCTGTTTTTTTTGTTTTGTTTTTTAGATCTTTTTTTTTTCAGAATTTTTTTTTCAGGGTAGATGGATGAGGTAGGATGGAGTGGGAGGTGAAGGAAGGTGTTCTTACAGGTGTCTAGTCTCAGGCACGTTGATGTTGACGTCCTGGATAGTCTCCTTTTTCTTCTCTTCTCTCTCCTATGTCTTTGTCTCCTTGTCCTGGAGCTTGTGCCTCATTTCGTCCATCTCCGTCTGCCGGTCTTTTTTTTTTTTTTTTTTTCCAGAATTTTTTTTCAGGGTAGATGGATGAGGTAGGATGGAGTGGGAGGTGAAGGAAGGTGTTCTTACAGGTGTCTAGTCTCAGGCACGTTGATGTTGACGTCCTGGATAGTCTCCTTTTTCTTCTCTTCTCTCTCCTATGTCTTTGTCTCCTTGTCCTGGAGCTTGTGCCTCATTTCGTCCATCTCTGTCTGCCGGTCTTTTTTTTTTTTTTTTAAGTACAGGCAGATGTTTTCAAGGACTGTTTTGTTGTCCTCTAATTCTGGGATCCTGGTGATACGGATCTAATGTTCTTTGGGGATGGTATCCTCTGTTTGTTGGATCTTAGAGATCAGGCACAATACAGTGAACCCACTGCTTGTGACCATCTCTTGGTGGATATCCTCTTGGCTCTTTTTCAAATTCAAAGATTTTATTGTCAAATATACCCCCCTTGTGTATTGAAATTCTTATGCTTGCCTTTTCTGGACAGCCGACCAATTTTAAAATAAAAAAAATAAAAATAAATGATTTACATAAATGTACATGAAATAAAAATGAGGCAAAAATGAGGTAAGGGGAAATGTGCAAAACTGAGCAGGTTGTAAAAAAAAAATGAAAATGAAATGAGTGCAATATAAATTAACAGTACAGTTAATTAAAGCCCACCAATAAAAATAAAAAAAAAAAATATATATGTTTAAATAAATGTACATGAAATAAAAATAAGGCAGAAAAGAGGTAAGTGAAAATGTGCAAAACTGAGCAGGTTGTAAAAAAAAATGAAATGAAATGGGTGAAATATAAATTAACAGTACAGTTAATTAAAGCCGACCAATTAAAAAAAAAAAGATTTTTTTTTAAAAAATAAATGTACTTGAAATAAAAATAAGGCAGAAATGACGTAAGGGAAATGTGCAAAACTGAGCAGTTTGTAAAAAAATGAAATGAAATGTGTAATATAAATCAACAGTACAGTAAAAGTGAAATAACAAGCTGAAGTTCAGACCAGTTGTGGGTTAGGTTCTGAAGCAGCCAGAGAATCCCTCTGTCATTTTTTTTTTTTTTTTAGATCGTTCTTATTTAGATCTTTTTTTTTTTTTTTTAGATCTGTCTTACTTGGATCTTTTTTTTTTTTTGTAGATCTTTCTTATTTAGATCTTTTTTTTTTTTTTTTTTCTGTCTTACTTGGATCTTTTTTTTTTTTTAGATCTTTCTTATTTAGATCTTTTTTTCAGATCTTTTTTTTTTTTAAGTACAGGCAGATGTTTTCAAGGACTGTTTTGTTGTCCTCTAATTCTGGGATCCTGGTGATAAGGATCTAATGTTCTTTGGGGATGGTATCCTCTGTTTGTTGGATCTTAGAGATCAGGCACAATACAGTGAACCCACTGCTTGTGACCATCTCGTTGTGGATATCCTCTTGGCTCTTTTTCAAATTCAAAGATTTTATTGTCAAATATACCCCCCTTGTGTATTGAAATTCTTATGCTTGCCTTTTCTGGACAGCCAACCAATTTTAAAATAAAAAAAAATTAAAAATAAATGATTTACATAAATGTACATGAAATAAAAATGAGGCAAAAATGAGGTAAGGGGACATGTGCAAAACTGAGCAGGTTGTAAAAAAAAAATGAAAATGAAATGAGTGCAATATAAATTAACAGTACAGTTAATTAAAGCCCACCAATAAAAATAAAAAAAAAAAATATATATGTTTAAATAAATGTACATGAAATAAAAATAAGGCAGAAAAGAGGTAAGTGAAACTGTGCCACACTGAGCAGGTTGTAAAAAAAAATGAAATGAAATGGGTGAAATATAAATTAACAGTACAGTTAATTAAAGCCGACCAATTAAAAAAAAAATTTTTTTTTAAAAAATAAATGTACTTGAAATAAAAATAAGGCAGAAATGACGTAAGGGAAATGTGCAAAACTGAGCAGTTTGTAAAAAAATGAAATGAAATGTGTAATATAAATCCACAGTACAGTAAAAGTGAAATAACAAGCTGAAGTTCAGACCAGTTGTGAGTTAGGTTCTGAAGCAGCCAGAGAATCCCTCTGTCATTTTTTTTTTTTTTTTAGATCGTTCTTATTTAGATCTTTTTTTTTTTTTTTTAGATCTGTCTTACTTGGATCTTTTTTTTTTTTTGTAGATCTTTCTTATTTAGATCTTTTTTTTTTTTTTTTTTCTGTCTTACTTGGATCTTTTTTTTTTTTTAGATCTTTCTTATTTAGATCTTTTTTTCAGATCTTTTTTTTTTTTAAGTACAGGCAGATGTTTTCAAGGACTGTTTTGTTGTCCTCTAATTCTGGGATCCTGGTGATAAGGATCTAATGTTCTTTGGGGATGGTATCCTCTGTTTTTTGGATCTTAGAGATCAGGCACAATACAGTGAACCCACTGCTTGTGACCATCTCGTTGTGGATATCCTCTTGGCTCTTTTTCAAATTCAAAGATTTTATTGTCAAATATACCCCCCTTGTGTATTGAAATTCTTATGCTTGCCTTTTCTGGAAAGCCAACCAATTTTAAAATAACAAAACAATAAATGAAAAAAAAAAATGAAATAAAATGTGAAAAACTCAGTGAAACCACTGTTTGTGACCATCTCATGGTGGGTATCCTCTTGGCTCTTTTTTAAGCGGCCAGAGAAATCCCCCTATGTCTTCAGCAGTTTGTGTTGTTTCCAACTGCTGCCAGTTTTTTGTTTTTTTTGATAGGGGGGGCGATTTGCTCTTTTTTTTAATGGGGGGAAAATGCCCACCCCCGCCCCCGCATCCCCCCACCCCCGTAACTTTTTGCCATTTGAGGACCAGACGCGCGCCGTTTGCGGGGAGGGGCGATTTGCGTTTTTCAATGGGGGGGCAATTGTCTTTATATAACGCCCCTCCCCCCCCTCCCCCATTTGAGGACCACACTCCTCATTCAATGGGTATTTTTTATTCCCTGTGCTGTGTTCTTTTCCAACTTCATGGACTGGAAGGTAGCACAGCGGCTGAGGAATGAGGAATCTTTTACATCTCATCCATTTCTTTCTTTGGCGAATGCAAGACCGCAAATGAAGATGAGGGGATTTCTGTATCTGCGCACATACCCTGAACCCGGCCATCTGTCCGATGTTCGGATAACCTCACACAGCCGGTTTGACAAATCAATAGTAACAACTTGTGAAGGTAGTCCAACAGTTTCATTCGGTCGTCATTGGAAACTGGGTTCTCGGTTCAATTTCTCAAGTTATACAGTATGCAAGGTAGACACACATGACCCCTCTATACTTTGTATTAAAGGCATGGCTAGCGGTAAAATTAGCATCTGTTAAATTCTATTTATGATATTGTAATAACATATTACGTCATATATTGAAATATAATGCTATATTTACGATATTAGTTCTATATTATGTTAAATGGTATTAGAAATATGG